TCTGACTGGCCTCATTGAACCTTTCCTCGCTCGTTCATCCTGAGTCTGACCTGTGGCTCTGGGTTTCTTTCTTGCATAGAAAACCTTCTTCTGCCCACGAGACTCTGTGAACCGGACTTCGTTTTTCTTCTGAATTGGGACGGTCACTCCCTCAGATGGTAACTCGACCATATACAACGAACCTCTCTTCCTTCCACGGGCCATGACAAGATTTCCCTTCACGACCTTCCACTGCCCATTTCCGAACTTCACCTCGTGTCCCTGTTCGTCCAACTGCCTAACAGAAATCAAACTTTTCTTCAAGGCTGGAACCACTCTGACATCCTTCAAAGTCCAGAAACCGACAGGGGTCTTCAGCACTATGTCACCCATGCCCGTCACATCAAGAGCTCCGTCGTCTGCTAGTCGTACCTTTCCAAAGTCCCCTACAACTAGATTCTGCAATGCTTCACCGCTGTGGGTAGCATGAAATGAAGCACCAGAATCCGTGAGCCAGGAATCTACACTGCTCTCCGCACAACAGATAAACAAATCCTCGTCGCTCGCGGAGCCTCTTGCAATGTTCACTTGCTTATCCTCTTTCGGGCACTGATTCCTGAAATGCCCCACCTCCTTGCACTTCCAGCATGTTACGCCTGAGCTATCCCGAGTCTTCGATCGACTCCTTCGTCTGTTCTTGCACCCACTACCTCTGTTATTTCCTCTACCTCTGACGATATTTAGTGATTCTTCCGAAGACTCACCAGAACTCCTTCTTCTGACATCTTCGCCAAGAACGAGGTCACGAATCTTCTCAAAAGTGAATCTGTCAGGTCCCGCTGAACTGGTAACTGCTGTAACAGTTCCGGACCAAGTGTCAGGCAATGACGATAACAGTAGTAAAGCTCGAACTTCATCATTGAACTTAATGCCCACTGACAAAAGTCTGGCTAAGATCGAATTCAACTTGTTGATATGCTCGGTAACTGAAGTGCCATTTTTCATCCTTGTGTTCACCAATTCTCTAATCAGAAACACTTTGTTTGCCGCAGATGGCTTCTCGTACATATTAAACAGCGCTTCCATGATGCCTTTCGCTATCGTCTCCTTCAGAATGTTGAATGCAACATTCTTGGTCAACGAGAGTCGGATCACGGACATTGCTTTCCAATCCAAACCTGCCCAATTTGCATCTGACATCTTTTCTGGCTTGTCACCCAATACCATGTCCAAATCTTTCTGAACCAGCAAATCTTCAATTTGCATTCTCCACCAACTGAAATTTGTACCATCGAACTTCTAAATTCGGAACTTCCCATCTTCTGCCATCTCCAACGACAAGATGAGATACCCGATACAACTAATTTCAGATCTTGATAATTTTATCAGATAAGATATCTACGACACAAAAAATTAACACCACCCACAAAAAATCACACCACTATCACCAAAAATTCCACAATGGCCCCCACCTCTCCTTTTTTTTCGGCCCAACACTTCAAAATCCACCCAAATCTTTCATGCCCCACTCACCCACCAAATTCAATCAATCACCACTACCTGCCAAGCAAAAGCATTCCACTTTCTTTTGGCTACTGTGCAATTTTATTGGCAATTGGGCGATGGAGACAACAACACACGGCGGCGCTTGGACGCTGGTCAGACGCGTCGGCTTCGCTCCTCTTCACCGCGGCGGCTATTCCCCTGCGACGGCGACGGCTCCTCCACGCGGCGGCGGCTCCTTCTGCCACTGCTCCTGCGTGCGGCGGTCGGAAGGCAAACGCTGGCGGCGATCTGTACTGGACGACGGCGGCTTGACGAGGGGAGGCTACGGCGGTTCGCGGATGACAGCGAACAACCTGCTCAAGCCTCTCACCTTCTTTTGAACCAGCGGCGGAGGGAGATCGACGGCGGCAACGGTGACTCAACGGCTGCTCCTGCGCGGGTGACGGCGGCAGCGGCTCCTTCGCTTGCTGCGGTCCCCCTGGAACCAGCGACGGCGACACGATTCGGATGGCGGCGGTCTGGATCTGCCCGATTGAAGGCGGCAGCCGTGAGTCTCAAGGGACTCACTTCCTGCTGCGGCAGTGCTTCGTGGGGATCGTCGGGGATGGTGGTGCTCCGGCGGCAGCGGCCCTCACTCCGGCTCCTGCTGCTGCACATAGTTCTTCTCCAAAGAACCCAGGTGACCCTCCTCTGATTAGTTTCTGCTGATCGGATTTTCGGTGTCTTAACGAACCAACGCTCCGATACCACTTGTTGGGAATAAACGCACGCGGAAACAACACACAATCACGAATCAACTGCAGAAAAATAAACGACACAGGATTTAACGTGGTTCGGCCGCCAACTGCAACCTACGTCCACACGGGGCAATAGGAGGATTTTATTATTTTTTTGTTGCACGCAATTACAAGCACATTAGCATCTCTTAAATAGAGATTAGTTAGGGAGACAATGATTAAGCCGCAAGCTTCTAGGTAGCTTCCTGCCAATTTCCTGTTAGCTTCCACCTATCTTCCTGGCTTCACACTCAACAGTTTTACGGGAAACTTGTTCGTAATTTTTGTTTTACGTAAAGAGTATGTATTCTTCTTCTTATTGTGTTTTTACTTTTTTGTAATGTTCTTTTTTTGTGTTTTTAGTTTATTTTGATATTTTTTATATTTTTTTGTTTGAGAGATTTTTTATAATGTTCATATTTATTTTTTAGTTTCATTATTGATAAAGTACAAACTTAAGTTATAGTATTGGTACAAAAATTTGAAATGCATTAGTTGCTAACATAAAAGTATTGTTTAATTTTTTCACACTTTTCATATTAAAAAATCTTATTTCTTATTTTGAATTGGACTAGTTTTATAAAAAGATTGTTAAAAAATATTAAATTATATTTGAAATAAATTTTAGTAATAAAGTTAGAGTAATTCTAAGTATAAGAAAAATTTTTTAGGACTATATCATAATATTATATAGAAAATATTAAAAAAATTAATTTTGACCAATCCATCGATCCGGACTGAAACCCGGTGGACGGACCGGACCAAAGGGCGAATAAGGAAAAAGTGAGGACCAAAGACAGGATAGGAAAACGACTCATATAGACAAGTCTGGTCCGGTTTTGATCGGGTTTTTGATACGAGTACGGAAGACACAATGGAGGGTAACCATGATAGGTCGGTCCGACCCCGAAGGCATATACGGCCACCCCGCCGTTATGACGATTATGTTTAGTATTTTGTTGTTCTTCCTTATTTATGTAACGTAGATTTTATTAGGAGAGCGGGTTATAAGCTCTTTCAAGGATTTTCTTTTCGGTTCTTTCCCTTGACGCTTTTCTTGAACCGACAGGTTAGAGTAGTCGTAGGGTTTGGGGAGTATATTGTTATAAATACGGAGCACAATGCACCGTAGGAAGTCAAGTAATAATAATATTCCATAATTTTCTCCCTAATTTTCTCTCATTTCCCAAAACCCTAAACCTTCTTCCTTTCTCCTTCTTTTGGCCGCTGAACCCAAAGAAATCCCTGGGCAGTGCTTTTCCAGCCATGAAGACTCGATACACCTTGTATCAACTGGTGCTCTCATTCTCGACCTCATGGCAGCTTCGTCGGAGCCCTCGACGGTCACCTTGTCCGATATCATGCAAGCCATAACCGCCTTAAGTACGGATTTGCAGGCTACCAAGCTTTGTGTTGCGGAGATTGTGGCAGATAAACCTCACGGAGTTGACGTTCGCAGACCTACCTTTGTTCCGTCCCAGGCGGGCTAGCGACCGCCGCCATCCCGTACGACACCACCTACCTTCGACCCGGCGCCGCGGATGCGCCACGGTTCTCGGGGGATGATCCTACTGGTTGGATTTTCCGAGTGCAAAAGTATTTCGATTATTTCTTGACGCCGGAGCCCGAAAGGTTACAGTTGGTCGCGATGTTGATTGATCACCCGGCTTCCGAATGGTTCCATTATTATCAAGCGAATAACCCGGAGGCTACTTGGCAGGAGTTTTTGGAGGGAGTGCATCAACGTTTTGATCCAGATTACTATGAGAATTACGTCGGCCTATTATCCAAACTTACACAAACATCCACCTTCATGGACTATCAATCGGCTTTTGAAACTATTCTCAATGAAGTGTCTGGGGTTCCCGATGCCACGTTGATTGCGATGTATGTGGCCGGGCATAAACAGCCGTTGTGCCGGGAGGTGAATCTCCACTGCCCAGCAACCCTTCAAGCCACGTTTGCTTTGGCTAGAGAACTCTCGGCATGCCTTCAAGAGGCGGCTATTTCGTATGGCACAATGGGCCGTCATCCCTGGCAACCCCGTCCCGCTCCCGCCCCGACAACGGGTCTTCTTCCCACACCAGGAACTACAGCAAAGTCGGACTTTTCACTACCATACCCCGCGAACAAAGCTCCCAACTTACCGGTGGTTCGGCTAACACATACCGAGAAAACGGAACGGAGTAAGAAAGGCTTGTGTTGGTATTGTGATGAAAAGTGGACTTCCACCCACAATTGCAAGCACCGTTTTCTCGTTCTTATGGGACCGGACGACGACGAAGAGGAGTCAGACACGAGGGACGCTCCGGAATTGTCCACCGACCCCCCTCGGAATTGTTCAAATCCTTTTGGATGGGGGTAGCACACATAACTTCATCCACGCGGCTGTGGCCGAACGGTTGGCCTTACCATTGCAACTGGTCTCTCCATTCCATGTTTATGTTGGTAACGGGGATTCCCTCCGTTGTACGTACTCATGTCCGCAGACACCGCTTTCCTTGCAGGGCCATTGTTTCGAAGTGGATTTGTATCTCTTAGCCATTCATGGACCGGATGTCATTTTGGTTGTTCAATGGTTGCAAACTTTGGGGAAAGTGGCCCACGATTATTCCCAAATGATGATGGAATTCTCTTGGAAGGGCGGTACAGTGACATTATGGGGTGATCAACCACACCCGCGCCCTTTGACGTATAGCCAGTTCTGCTCGCTCGTGGCCTCATCGGATGCGCAGGATGTTTATGAACTCTTGCTGGCCGATTCAACGACTCCAGACACACCCCCCGCAAACACCTCGGATTTAGTTTTTCCAGCAGCGGTGCCTGAACCCGTCCGAGCAGTGTTGGTGGCCCAATCCGCTGTTTTCGGCATTCCCCAGGGGCTGCCGCCGTCTATATGTTGGGATCATCACATTCACTTAGCTCCGGGTACCAAGCCAATCAATGTTCGACCATATCGGTACCCTTACTCCCAAAAAATGGAGATCGAACGACAGGTACGGGAGATGCTTGACCAAGGCCTGATTCGCCCAAGCCATAGCCCCTTTTCTTCACCGGTTTTATTGGTCCAAAAGAAGGACGGCTCGTACCGTTTTTGCATTGACTAAAGGGCCCTTAACAAAGCCACAGTTCCGGACCATTTTTCGATCCCCACCACTAATGAACTGTTTGATGAGTTGGGACAGGCGCACATCTTTACCAAGTTTGACCTCCGTTCAGGATATCATCAAATTCGAATGCACGACGCCGATACGTTTAAGACCGCCTTTCGAACTCACGATGGGAACTATGAGTTTTTGGTGATGCCATTCGGCCTTCCCAACACTCCATCCACCTTCCAAAGTGCTATGAACGCCCTCTTCAGGGATTATCTGCGCAAGTTTGTTATCGTCTTCTTCGACGATATTTTGGTCTACAGCACCTCCGTTGACATGCATGTCAAACACCTATAGACGGTTCTCCGCATCCTCCACAGTCACTCTTTTTACGTCAAGTTTAGCAAATGTTCCTTCGGGTGTTCTAGGATTGGGTACTTGGGGCATTTAATCACAGCTGCCGAATTGAAACCCGACCCCGACAAGATCTCGGCCATGGTGGCTTGGCCAACCCCCACGTCCGTACGCCAATTACGGGGGTTCCTCGGCCTTACCAGGTATTATCGCAGGTTCATTGCGGGTTATGCTTCCATCGCGGCACCCTTAACAGATTTGCTCAAGAAAGACAGCTTCTCCTGGACCCCCTCGGCAGTGGAAGCCTTCAAGAGCCTCAAGTCGGCAATGACCATTGCCCCGGTCCTCCGTCTGCCAGACTTTGCACAACCGTTTTATTTAGAAACGGACGCGTCCTCCTTTGGGATTGGTGTCGTCCTAATACAAAACGGACACCCATTGGCGTTTTTTAGTTAGAAGCTGGGAATCAAATGCCGGGTGTCATTCTTGTCGTTGTAAATTTATAACAAAACTTGATGTCTCTCATTAAATTTAAGCTATGACGTGAAATTTGCGATGGTAAAGTCATCGTCGTCTATTCCATCAGCAATCAAGTTTTGCAACAAAATAAGGTGATTCTCTAAGAAATATTTTGATGCAAATATGTACGATTTTGTAGTGGTATGCTAACAGGGCCAAAATAGATCGACATGTGGTGTACAGAGTGGATGCATGCGGTTGATCCCTTGTACCAAAAGTCTTTCTAACAAGAAAAAGGTAGTCGAACGACATGTCTCACAGGGTTGTTGCGGTGATCCAAGTTAGTGGGTAGATTAGAAATAGATAGTCACAGAAGAGGAGATCACGAGTTGTGTGGTCTTGGTTTGAGGAAATATTTGTTGGGTAAAAAACTCATCACACACCGGTGGGGAATGATGAAATGAACCAATATTCAAAGGTTCAAACTAACTCATTAACATGCGGCTTTCAAGGAAGGGCCCAAAAACAAATATGTGAGAGCTCTAATTGGCCCTAAGCGAATAATATCATATCATACTAATGTGTGGTTAAGATGACATTATATATGATCCCAGCATGTGGTATCAGAGTCCAAATTAGGATTGGTAGAAGTGGTTGACTACGACGTCCAAAATTCTTGGGGCGGATGGCAGCCGACCAGAGTAGAACCAGAGGAATTCCTTGTGTAGTGCAAATTCAACGGTGTGCGTTGTAGAGATCTACATTGATGTCTTTTTTCAAAAGCCCCAACAAGAATAGATGGACAAGTAGTAAGCCCGACAAGTTATTGCAACAGTCCAAGATGGGTAACATATTAGAAACGGTGAGGTTCTAGTGACACCGGAGTACGGTGCCACTGGCATTTTGGGGCACCTCCGGTGTCACTAGAACCCCACCGTATTTGGATAAATGCTAGAAGAGAGGTCACCGAGTTTTATGGTCCGGTCTAAGTTTGGGGGGAGGTTTGTTGGGAATACATTCTAACCTCACACGGGCAAAATAGGTTCAGAGAAGGAGAACCAAAATACTCCCATCGTCTCAAATAATTAAATTGTATTTTTACTATTAACAAGGTCAAACTTTATTCATTTTTCCCTATTTTGTTAGTCATTTAATAAAACAGTATATAGTCAGGTAACTACTGGTTTTGTAGATCTTTTGATGTAATTTTTAACTATGTAATTTTTTTTAGTTCTACACCTTTTTCCATACTCCCTCCGTCCACAAATAAACTTCTCGTTGCGCGTTACTATGTTTGACTGAAGTTATTTTCAAATCATTTTATATAAAAAATGGTGTAAAATTTAAAAATAAAAATTACATATTAAAAAACTATATCAAAAGATCTATAAAACTAGAGATTACATGACTATATTATTTTATCAAATGAGTGACGAAAATAGGCCAACAAAGTGAATAAAGTTTGAACCTATGAATAGTGAACGAGAAGTTTATATGTGGATAGATGGAGTATAAAATAATTTGAAAATAAATTTGGTCAAATATCCTAAATCGAAATATATAAGTGAATAAAATTAGGACAGACGGACGGAATATAATAGTAAGGGAAAAATTAGAAAAAGTGGATTAAGAATAGAAAATTACCTTCCAAATTAAAATGCTGATATCATATTGGCCGGCCTTATAGGAAGAAATGGGAGAGATGGCAGCTCCAATGGCAATTTTGTTATTAGTCTGGACAAAGCCCGAGCATAGCAGATTATAACACCCCGTACCTTGGTATGCATCACTCTGTCCATAATATTTCACAATTTTTTAATAATAATAATAATAATGATTCCTTAAAAAATAATAATAATAATAATAATAACAATAGTGATAATAATAACAAATTAAATAGTTATAATAACAAAACATCCCTCCCAATTATACGTTCAAATTGAGTCACAAATAAATAATTCACAAAATTCAGAAACTTGTCTTTTGTAGCTTTTAAAAAGATAAGTTTGTGAATTTGTGAATTGTCTGTTTGCGACTCGAGTATTTTCTTTTTATTCAAACTACTCCATAATAAAGTTGAATCATTTTTTAGTTAAATAAAAATCACATTACTTAGTAATACAAAAGTGATGATGCATCATAATTTAATTCCATCATCTAAATATAAAATGTAATTTTATTTAATTTATTATTATAAAAATTTGTCAACGGGGAAAGGACTAAACTAAAAGTAAAACATGGGGAAACTACTAAAATTAGAGTTTCATATTCTTTTTTAATCCAAAAATAGAAATACAGTGTCAATAATAGTAATATGTTCTATCAAAAAGTACGATGAGATGCCACTATACAATCTCGTAATGTCACGGCATAAAATTTCTATTTTGGGAATAAAAATATAAAATTAATATTTTGAGGATAACTACTACGTTTATTTTATTCCTATTTGGAATGATTTCTTTTTGCTTACTTCATAGTACTATAACATAAAAAATTAAATTAGGCGAAAACTTTATGACAGAGAACAATAATAATGATTAATAATATTCTCTAGTACTCAATCCGTTCTAAAAAGATTACCATATCTGATCTTTTTGATCAAATGGTGTAATACTTTGACCAAAACTTATGAAAAATATTTTTAATTATATTTTAAATTTAGTAAAACTTGATTTATTTTAAAATACTATTCTCCGTAGCCTTGATCTATCAATTTTTTTTATTCCCGCCGTCCACCAATGATTTTCTCAAACTGGCCTTTTATGATTTTAAAGAAGAGTTAAAAAAGTTGAAAGTTTACAAATAAAGTACGGAGTAAGTGTTTTTAATTGCGGTATTTTAAATATTAAATAAGGTAATGAGAGTATCTTTTCCGAACAAAGAAAAAAAGCATTTGAAAAAGTGTTTCCCGATGAAGGGAGTAACATTTTCAAAATTATATTTATTTAATTTATGATTAAAACATTTTAAATTTGACCAAAAAATCAAATTGAGACAATGTTTTTAGGAGGAAGGGTGTATAAAAGCATACCGTCCAGTAGGTAAAAAATCTAGGGTAATTGTCCCCGTATAGGTCTGGGCTAACCTGCAAAACAAAATACGGCAATATTAAGGTCATGCGTTATGGGGGGTTTGACGGTGTGTTAAGATGTATGATGTGGAGTGGTAAAAAACACTTAGAGGCTGTTTGACAACTTCTGAATAGGTAAGTGCTGAACCAGTAAGAGATCTGAACCATTAAGTGCTGAACCAGTAAGAGGTCTGAACCATTAAGAGCTAGTATATTGCTTAACTATTCAGAGGCAAATGTCTGATCAATTCAGATAAGAGGTCTTAACCATTTAGACTCTGTATAATACTTAACCATTCAGAGGCAGATCTCTTGACCATTCAGACATCTGAACCATTAAGAGGCTGAAACAAACAGTCTGAACCATTAAGTGCTGAACCATTCAGACATCTGAATCATTAAGAGTCTGAAATAAATAGCCCCTTAGTATGTGTTATAGTAAGTACATGTAAAAAATTGTGATATACCAATTTATGAATAAAATCAATTTAAAAGAGATAATATTTGTACGCTGTCCCAAATAGGACGCTAATTTAGATAATTTAGAGTAAAGGTCCCTAAGAGATTTTTGGTCGCAGAAAAATGATGAGTGTATTTTGTTTGTGATGTTAAATGGATTTTTTAAATATATGTATTTTCATTTAGCGCGGTTGAATATATTTGTATTTCTCTACTTCTTTTAATAAAAAACCTTTGTCCCAAAATATATTCCACTTAACTTATTTAAATGTCTAAAAAAATCATATTCCCCCGTTCTATAAAAGTGTTCCTATTTTGACTTTGTGTACAAAAAAGGAAGTGTTAAATTGTAGTTGACTTCCAATTATGTCCTTGATGTGATGGGTAAAAGTAAGATGTGATAGATTGAGTATTAGAGAAAAAGTATGATGTGATAGGTAGGGTATGAAAAAGTAAGGGTAAAAGTGGTTTTTTAATAGAAAGTGGAAGTATTTTGTTGGAAGTAAAAAAAATGAAAGAGGAAGAGTTTTTGAGAACGGAGGGAGTAAATCATATATAAGCCACACTTAGGCCGTGGTGGCCTGACCTCCTCTTTCCCGCCCCAAACACGCCCATTCCCCGCGACCATTCACCATGACGGAGTTTCTTTGGCGGGGCGTGACCCCTTCCTGCGTTATAGCTTAAGGTTGTGTTTGGTGGAGGGTAAAATATTTTATTTGAAGAATATTTTCCAAAGGAAGATAATTACAAGAAAAATTATTCTTCAATCATATAATCCATCGTTTGATAGAAAAATACTTTTCCTCCACTAATGGCACCAAACACATGAGAATGGAATCAAAATTTTTCTAGAAAATATTTTACGCCCAAACAAACACACCATAAGTATTTAAATACTACATCAAATATCCTAAAAAACAAGTGACATACCTATTTTGTTTTATTACATGATCAAATGAAAACATATATGCAAACAAAATTATCAAAAGCTTAATAGTAAAAGGTAAAGATTAAAATCGGAATAAAATATATATAGAAAAATAACGAAAATATGACCCTCACTTTTTTATTCTCAAAGTAAGAGTTACAATGCCAACAACAAAAAATTCCAAAAAACACTGTGAAATATTTTAACTCCAGTTTTGCGAATAAGAGCTACTTCCTTTGTCCCTTAAAACATTTTAACTTTCACGTCTTACTCGTGCCATTAAATATTTCAATTTTACTTAAATGGACATAATTACCCTTACTTTGATTAAATCTAACCGAACCTACCTCGAAAAATCTTCTACGCTCTGTTAGAGAGTCATCCCATATCTGAAGTTCATGAGCAAAATAATTGGTACATAAGCTCTTGAGTTGAACTAACTAATCGATTGGATTCAATCTTTTAATATGGTTCAGCCCAAGTGTCTTGTTACCCAATCTAGTTATCTCTACCCAATCCTAAATTCTATCATGGTATCAGAGAAGGTTTTGGCCCACCTCGTTTGTCAAGATGTTCGTCTAGACGTTCATTCCAAGCGGCCCGTTAGTCTTTAGCCCAGTTGTCCGTATGCAAAATCTACCCAACGGCCTGTGGCCCGTTTAACATGATTGCTCGTCTGGAAGTCCATACCCAGCGACTCGTGGTCATTTAGGTGTTGGCGCTTTAAAAAAATCAAGGAAATAGAAGTTTATTTGCAAGTGGTCAACCGGCTAGATTCAAAATGGCCCGGTTGTCCACTTGAGGGGGAGTGTTAGAGCGTCATCCCACATCAAAAGTTCAAGAGCAAAATAATCGGTATATAAGCTCTTGAGTTGAACTAACTAATCGATTGGATTCAATCTTATAATGTGGTTCAGTCCAAGTGTCTTATTACCCAATCCAGTTATCTCTACCAATCCTAATTAAATTCTATCACGCTCTACCCAATGCAGTTATCTCTATATCATTCCTTTCCAAAAATCAAAACTGAAAAAGTTTTCTGAGACGGAGGGAATATGTTTACTCTTAATTATTTTGGATGATTTCTTAATAGTGAAAATGACAATAGTTTATGTAGAGAGGAAGTATATCTTCATCCATATCATATTCAATAATAATAATAATACGACTAAAATAAGAATAAAATTTATACAAACTAAAGAATCAATTAAACAAAATTTTTATATTTTCATTTTCAAAATAAAACGTATACTATAAACAACACCAACATATAAGCACGTCAGAGTTCCACACTCTTTGTGGGATGTGTTAAAAAAGTGACACAAACTTGATTATTAACCATTAAAATGCTTCAAACATTCTCCAAAAAGGTGAAATGCTTCAACCATTAAAATGCTTCAAACATGATATAGTAGATAGTGGTGTTGATGAGTAGTACTCCCCCGTCCCACAAAATCCTTTCCTTTTTTTTCATACGTCTCAAAAAACACTTCTCTTTTTCTATTAAAAAACCACTTTTAGCCCTATTAATTCTTAACCTACATATCACATCACACTTTTTCTTTATTAATCTACTCATCCCATCCTACTTTATCAATCACATCAAAAAGTATTTTTAGAGAGTCAACGCCAAAATACACTTCCCTTAAACTTTTAAAAATCAAAATGGAAAGTTTTTTAAGGGACGGAGGGAATATTTAATTATAATTAATTCTGAGCTGGTAAAGGAAATTACTAGAAGAGTAGAATGAATGAAGAACAAATAAATGGAGATACTACCTCCATCTCAGAGTTCTGACCTTTAGTAATTAAAATTGATTAACTTTGACAACATATTAAATAAAATTGGCATTGAAAATTGATATAAAAATAATTTCATTAGATTTGTTTTATATAATATTTTTAAAATATTATTTTATCTAATCAATATTTTATATAACCTTTATTTAATTATCAATATAAGTCAAAAATTGAAAGTGATTAACTGTAAAAAGTAAAAAACGATTCGTCGACGGATCAGAGGTAATACATTCATTGGTAGTGTGTGTATATACCGTAAACACACACAAATGTGTGTGTGTGTGTGTGTGTATATATATATATATATATATATATATATAGGTGTGTGTGTGTATGTATGTCTGTGTATATATACATATAGACATATATACTCCCTCCGTCCACAAATAAACTTCTCATTTACTATTCACAGGGTCAAACTTTATACACTTTGTTGGCCTATTTTCGTCACGCATTTGATAACATAATATAGTCATGTCACCTCTAGTTTTGTAGATCTTTTGATATTGTTTTTTAATATGCAATTTTTATTTTTAAATTTTACATCATTTTTCATATAAAATGATTTAAAAATAACTTCTGTTTAACATCGTAACGCGCAACGGGAAGTTTATTTGTGGACGGAGGGAGTATACACACACACACATACATACACATACACCACACACACCAAGGTTCCCATGACATTGCCCGGCAATGTCATGAGATGACCCGGGGACGCTCTGGGTGCCCCGTTCGTAAAATTGGCGGTTCTTACGCCCCTAACTCTCGGGCCCCGGTAAACCCCCCACCCTGCCCCAACCTGAACACACTCCTCACCCCTTCAATTGCAAATATATATTGTTATACGTTAAGAGTTGAAAATAATTTGTTATAAAAAAAGCAAAACTCAATAAATATTAATATTAATAATAATAATAATAAATAATGAGGGGAGGGTATTTATATATGCATGCCTGCCAGCCGGCTTCAATGGTGTTGAGATCATCACCAAAAGCACCAGAAATAAGCCACACTTGCGACAAGCTGAATTCATACGGTTTAGCCACGCGTGGGGCCCACACGCTCATGCTCGCTTTTGCCCCATAGTACTCTTCTCCGCTCGCATACCCAATTGCATGCTGCTTTTTTTTTTTTTAATGATGATCAATTCAATAGTTAGATATCATAATTATGAAAAAATTGCACTAAATAGGATTAAGAATAAGTCATTTTTTAATATAGGACTTAATATTTTTTATTTTTTAAATATGATTTAATAAAATCTAGTGATGAGAATAATGTCTAATGATGATTGACATTTACTTGAATAATGACTAATGGATAATGACCAATCGTCTTACATCAAAAAATAAAAACATATAGTCCTATATTGAGAGTGACATTATGTTTTAGTATTATTTAGATAAATTCCCCCATTGTTATACCTCTCTTCCTAAAAAATGACTCTTTTTTGAGACATTCCAAAAAACATCGTTTTTTCTTTTAATGAAAATATTTTAAGTGACTTACAATTTTTTCTTTTTCAATTGCATTATTTTCAACCACACATTTTTTACTTATATAAAATTTTGTGATAAGATCATTTAAAACTTTTTTAAGCCGGAGGGAGTCTAGAGAAATTGATTTGATGTCATGAATTTACACAATTTGAGATTATGGATGATATAATTTAGGAGGAGGGAGTGATAACTAGATTAGAAAATAACACATTTGGGCTGAATCACATTAAAAAATTGAATCCAATCTGGATTAGTTAGTTCAACTCAATAGCTTATATACTGATTATTTTACTCTTGAATTTCTGATGTGGGATGCACTTTTAACAATGGACTATAATTTGGGAAATTTATGTAAATATATAGTACTAAAACATAATGACTTTCCTTAAATAGCATTACATGTCTTTTTTTCCAATGTAGCACTTTTAGTTATTATCCATTAGTCATTGGCCTTGTTTGGATACTAGCAGTTGACAGTTGACAGTTGGCTGTTGGCTGTTGGCTGTTTATGTTAGCTGATTTGAATGGCTGATTAAGTTAGCTGTTTTGACCGGCTGTTTCTGTTAGCAGTTAAATTTTAAGTGTTTGACAACTTTAGCTGTTTATAGTTAGCTGTTTGTAAATAAAATTACATAAAAGGGCATCCCTCCATTTATGGTATATTTTATTTTACAATTTTTTTTAATATCATATCATAAATATATTTTTTTAAAATTAAAAAAATTAAATAAAAATTTATATATATATATATATATATATATATATATAGACATGATATTTATTTTTCATTTTTTTACATGTAAAAATTAAATCTTTACTATATGGAATATTAAATTTTAATTTCATTTAATTCATAATAAATTATAAATATAAATTTTTTAATGAATTATAAATATAATTTTTTTTTAATTTCATTTTATTTTTTCGTATTTAATTTTTTTAACTTTTATTTTTATTTTTTACATATATTATAAAATATCTTTCAACAAAAATGATTTTAAAAAAATATTTTTCCTAACCGCCAAGTCCAAATGCTACTCACCTTGGCATTTCAAATTTTGGCTTTTCGGATCAAAATGCCAAGTGAAAAAGCCATTAGCCAAACAATGGTTTTGGCTGTTCGCTTGGTCAAAAAAGCCAAAGTCAGTCTAAGATGCTAAAAGCTATCCCAAATGCTATTTTCCAAACACGGCCAATATTCAAGTAAATGTTCGCATCATTGGCCACTATGGACATTATTAAATGCTATTTAGGGAATAAAACAATTTAAGTGTTATTTAGAAAAATGACTTAAGTTTTAGTGTTATTTAGTGCAAATATTTCGTATAATTTGGGAGAGGGTAGGAGGTCATGAGGGGGCAAGGGCAGGAATGGAGCTTTATGAAGGGTAAATTTTGTCAATTTTACAAACACGTAAGTGTCTCAATTTATATGATGTCATGAATTTACACAATTTGGGATTATGTTATGTACAATTCCTCGTTACATTATGCCCCGTTACATTATTAATACCTCTCCGCCCCTATCAGAATATTTTTTTAAATTCGGTAAAGTGAAATGATAATATGTTCTTTGTTAGATGAAAGACAAAAAGAGAAAAAATCTGCTCAAATTTTATGCACAAATTATGCAAGAATTAAAAAAAAGTATTTATGCACAAATATATTTAAAAGTTAGGGAATAGTATTAATTATCAAAGTGAGGCATCACTGGATGAGAAAAATCAAATTTGGAAATGTTTTTGTGTTAATATACTCCCTCCATTACATAATTTTTTTGTAGTTACTATTGATGCGATCAAATTTTATATTTTTATTTCTTTATTTTTAATGCTAATTTAATAGAACAATATTTTATTCCTTTGAAAAATTGAATTGAAAATAATCAATACTTCCTCAATATCAAAATAAAGTACTTTTTAAACAAAGATTTTTAAAATGTGGTGAATTTTAAACTGTGGTGATTTTTAAAATGATTATATTTTCAAATTAGTACATAAATATAAAGTACGGAGATAAACTTATTAAGGTACGCTAAAAACTACTTCAAAAGTTGTACAAAACAAGCTAAGATATGACAATAATATTTTATCGTATCAAATGATCAATGAAAATATGTAAACAAAGAAAATTATCGAGAAATTATAATAGTAAAAAGAAAAATCATTTTGTGCATTTTAATTGATTATTTGATAAAAACAACATTTATGTCGTCTCTTGCTTTAAAGAATTTGTTGACATGATTTTTATGTATGTGAATTTTATTAATTAATTTTATATCAATTTTTAAATAAAATAAATTTTAAAAAACTAGATTTTTTTTTGTGATCTGGAATTCTCTATTTAGAGCAAGGGAGTAAAATAAAAAAGAGTTCGTACTCCCTTAGGGGTACTACTTACTTCATGGCCGGCGCCGTCGCCGGCGGTGGAATCTCTTTGAACGGTTTTTCTTCCAAAATGATGGATGGAAGAAGCCCGGAGAAGGTCCCGTTCAAGTGTTCGTCTGATCGGAATAGTTCCCTCCGGGCATGATTCCCCAGACGACGACCTCCACACCTGGAAATCCTCCTCCTCGTATCCGGCCGCCGTCGTGGGGTGGTGGCGCCGGCGCTTCGGCCTCTCCGGCGGTTCCAATGGCTTTTGTCCCTTCAACATGGGATGATCGAACGCCGGTTGCTTGTCGGATTCCACGCAGTCTATAATGTCTCCATCTGAACTCTGCATCATATCATCACACCATTCATTTCATTTCAATTTAGTTTATTTGATTATGAATATAAAATTTAAAAATAAAATTTATTCCATATATATTACTCCTTCCGTCCTAAAATTATCTTCTCAGTTATTATTCACACGGTCAAACTTAAATCACTTTCTTTACGTAATTTTGTTAGTTATTTGATAAAATAATATAGTCTTGTCACCTCTTATTTTGTAAAACTTTTGATGTAGTTTTTAAATAAATAAATTTTATTTTTAAATTTTACACATACAACCATTGAATTGAAAATAAAGTCGGTCAAACCTCGTAAACACAAACGTGAAGATGGTTTTAGGACGGAGGAAGTACTATAAAATAGTTGACACACTTTATTTTAAAATTGGGAACAACAATTACAATTCTTTGTTTGGTCGTAGCACAAAAATATTTAGGTTTGGAATTGGTAGTGCTAAAAATAAATTGAAATTAAAAAATTCAATTCCATTCAAATCAATAGAATTTTAACTCTCAATTCAATTCCAAATTTTTTTCAATTTTGTGTGCCAAATAGACCCTTAGATTTCATGTCAATATTATGAACTTGCATGAGACAACTCATTCAGACTTCCAAATATCCCAAATTATCATTTAATAAATGAACACATTAAATAATTGTTTTCCAAAATGATAATTTTTATAAATGAAATACTTGAAAGGGCAATTGTTAGCGAAATTGATTAACCTCAATTTTTAATGGTGCGAATTTAGTTTGAAAAGGCTAAGCTAAATGATACATGCATATATTTACCTGCACAGATTTGACAAAAGGCTTATTGAGCTTGGCGAGATGAGCTCTCATCATCTTCATCTTCTCCGACTCTTCCCCGGGCCGGAAAGCCTGGCTCGACCGGTTGGAGTTTCCGGGGTCCGGTCGTGCAGACCGGACCGGACAAACACCAATGACCATAAAGAGAAAGCAGAGAATAAGAGAAATTATAGGCTTGGAAGAAGATGAGATCTTGGGGCTGAACAATTGGGAAGCCATTTTGTTTTCTTTTTGCTTTGTTAGTTATTCTTTGCTTCTTCTCATAATAAAATCTAAACCTGCAGACTTATGCTTTTGACACACACACACACATATATATTTATATACTATATGGAAGCTGTCTCTTCTGAGTTGTGATTCCCAAAAAGAAGAAGCTAAGAAGGAATAATTGTCTTGATGTAAAAGACAACAGTATATATAGAATAATACTTCTATTTGGATTTGGTCATAAAACAATGCTACATGAGAATCATGAAAATATATGTGGAAATTAAGCCATATTTCCTACCCATCCTTCTAGGAAAGATATCCATGTTTCATTTTTTGTGCATCTTATAAAATATTTTTACGTACATCTACGATGTCTAAAACTCACTATGTTTCTCATTTATTGCGATAGAAATTGTTTTAGGGATATTTTAAATATTTTATATTGAAAAAAGCGGTTTATGGGATACACGTTAAAAAAAGGAACGTCTTTTGGGGATGCACCAAGGAGGGAGTATGAGTGTATGACTAGCTTCTTTTTAAACAGTGGGTAAAGCATATATACTCTCCAAATTGAGTTCCTTAGCTCCCCTGCCCCTCTCTACCTTTAAACTTTTTTATTTAAGAGAGAAATGAGACAAATATTATACTCCCTCCGTCCCAAAAAGTTTGTTACATTTAGAAAAAACTACGTCCCGTAAAGTCTGTTACATTTCTATTAAAAAACCACTTTTACCCCTCATTTTTTCATACCCTACCTATCACATCATACTTTTTTTCTAATAATCTACCCATCACATCCTACTTTTACCTATCACATCAAGGGTATTTTTGGAAAGTCAATACCAAAATATCCCTCCCTTATTTTTGGAGTATATTTTTTCATTGATCATTTAATAAATCTTTAACGTAATGATAATCATTTTTATTTTTGTACTCCCTCCGTCCTAAAACTTTCTTCCAACTTCTCTTTTTTCTCTGTCCTAAAACTACCTTCCCATTAGAAAAAAAAGATGACAAATGACATTAATACCTTCATTATTTACACCAATTATCTTCTAACTCTATATTTTGAATGATTGCAAAAACAATTCAAAAAATCTTTTTTAAGGAGGGTAAAATTTGAAGTCAAAGCCAAAAATTAAAAATGGAGAAAAGTCAAACTGAGAAGAAAGTTTTAGGATGGATGGAGTACTATTTTGTTTCTTATTTTATTCATCATTTTTTAGAAGTTCTAAAAAAATTACCTTTTTTCGGAAAAAACAAAAATTATTAATTTGAGACGTGCCGATGCATTACATGTTAATTTTTTCAAACAAAAATAACTTTAAATTTTAAGAACATTATACAAGTAATTGTAAAATAACCTTTATTAATAAATGAAACTAACAAATAAAGGAAAAAATGGGAAAAAAGAGAGAAATTAAAAAATCAGTACTGGTACCCCCCATGGTTTAGAAAATATGCACGAATGCCCCCCTTCTTCGCCGGAAAAATGATCGGAAAATGATTAGATGGGGCACGGGTGCAGCGTTTTGAAACCACAAGGACTTTAGAAATAAGTCTTGAAAACATGGAGGGTATTGATTCCAGTTTTGCAAACCACGGGGTACTGACGCTATTTGGCCTTTAAAAGTAAGCCAAAGATATTGGGTCAAAATTTGGACACGGGTCAAAGTCCACTATTTCATTGTGTCCCACCAGTCATAAAATGGGCCCATGTTTGGGAAGAGGAGTATTGAGGATAATAAAGTCCATTTCTTTATGGAGATTTATTTGACAAAATATTTTGGCCGCCCAAAGGCTCCCAATTCATGATTGTGCCGCGCTTTGCCGGATATTGGGTCCATTAAAAGACATCAAAGTAAAGCTTTTTGGGTTCAAAGAGTACTAGGAGTTGACCCTCTTTGATGAGTGTAGTTCAATATTGCTTCCTCAATTGTCCACTTTAGTTTTTCTTACAATACAACCAAACAAGTTTTAGGCCATTTTCTCTTTGGTTGATTTGATCTGATCTAAATTGAATTTTTTAAAATTGATCTAATTTGACTTGAATGAATCTAATCTTATCTAAGATGAATGGATCTAATCAGATTTGATCAAATATGAATATATCTCATCGATTCTGATTTGAATGGATCTGATCTGACTAGAATAAATATGATTCAAATTCCAATTCAAACAATAATAATAATCATTAGTAGTAGTATTATTATTGTTACTAACATTATAATTTAATCAAAAAACATAATAATAGAAACAAAAATTATTACTATTGTTGTTGTTATTATTATTATTATTATTATTATTATTATTATTATTATTATTATTATTATTATTATTATTATTATTATTATTATTATTATTATTATTATTATAACTCTTATCATTATTTCTATCATTATTATTACAATTTTTATTATTACTGTTATTATTGTAACATTATTTATTTTTAATACTTTTCTGATTTGATCTGAACACACTTGATCTGATTTGGTGTACTGCTATTTTTTGTTCATTTACAAGCAAATATCTCATTTACCTTACAAGATTCTTGTTAACCAAAATCCTAACTATAATCGCTTTGCTGAGCAACCGTATAATATTGTGTAGTCTATAAGATATTTTTTACTCAAAAGTTACCATCCATTGTAGAAATCAAATAAAATATTTCTTCCCTGAAAAATTTGATGATTTATTTGCGGCACCAGAGTGGCACCAGAGTGGCACCAAAAGTTAGCGGCACCAGAGTGGCACCGTTACCAAGTGACAACTTAAGTTTTTTCTAATATGTTTTGGCTACATTCTAATTCTAATGCACAGCTGCTTTATTTAAGCGTACTTCTCAGGACATGGCAGACTGTTTTTATTTACTTATAAAATACGGAGTATCCATAATGATTTTTTAATTTTTTTTTGTTCATTTACAAGCAAATATCTCATTTACCTTACAAGATTCTTGTTAACCAAAATCCTAACTATAATCGCTTTGCTGAGCAACCGTATAATATTGTGTAGTCTATAAGATATTTTTTACTCAAAAGTTACCATCCACTGTAGAAATCAAATAAAATATTTCTTCCCTGAAAAAATTGATGATTTATTTGCAAAATTGATGATTGCTACCTCCACCACAGCCCAATCCAAACCCACCCCCTATCTCAGTCAATTAGACCCCAACTTTTGAATTAAATTTTTTATCCAAAGTCAACTAAACTTGAAGAGTTTAATTGACGGGTGTTTACCGGAGTGTTAGAGCCTTCAGGATAAGAACCACTTCGAACCGAGCACCAAAAATTCTTTAAAAAGTTAGCGGCACCAGAGTGGCACCGTTACCAAGTGACAACTTAAGTTTTTTCTAATATGTTTTGGCTACATTCTAATTCTAATGCACAGCTGCTTTATTTAAGCGTACTTCTCAGGACATGACAGACTGTTTTTATTTACTTATAAAATACGGAGTATCCATAATGATTTTTTAATTTTTTTTCTTCTGCAAAATTTTCCCTTTCATCAAGACCTTTAGATCAGAAAATTAATGCACCATACAGATTCTCATTTATAACCAAACCACAGGCACACAGTACTGTACAACTCTTACAATTTTAATTGTAGAAAGAAAAAAAAAAGAGATGTAGACTTTTATAATGTAGTCTTAGCTGTGGGCATATGAAATTGTTTGTTGCATCACAAACAAAAGTGTACCTTTTTTCCAACAAGAAATGCAAGCCCATGTTAACAACCTTAATGTTATTGCAGTTGCACACAGCACGAGTGTTGAGTGGGGAGATCACATCTGAGGTCTTGTCTGAACAACATAAACCTGTCCATCCTTCACAACACCTTCAATGTCTTGAGCACATCCACACAGCTCCTCAATCACACTCCCAGCACTCGCAATTTTCGAGAGCACCGATTGGCGGAAGTCAACATCCATTATCAATGGATCGTCTGTGTAATCGAGTACGACTCTCTCCGGCTCATCAATTGGCACGCTGCAGAAGACGCATATTGAGAAAAGATCAGCACAAAGATAATTCTCTACTCAAACGTACCCGCTAATTGGGTTGCCTGGCAAGGCCTTTGTTAGAATATAAAATATTTTCCTGAGTCTGGCTGCGTTCCATTCGCCTAATCTGATCTGATTTTTTAAAGATCTAGTCTGATCTGATTAGATCTGATCTGGTCTGATCCGATTGTAGTTGTATTTAAAACTATTTCTAATCTGGTCTGATCTGAAAACACTTTCGTTACCACGATTGGGTGAGTCCCATATATTTTCATTTTTATACTAAAACATCAACCTATGGCACCAGTGCACCACACATTCACGGAGCCGTGGCTTCCGAAATTCGGAGTTTTAGGGGTTTATAAAATAATTCATTCGTACAAAAAAAATTATAGTGAAAAGTTTATACCACTACTACTACAACAACCCAGTATAATCTCAATTTTGTTGTGATTTGGGAGTCAAGATGTACATAGTCTTACTATTGTTAAAACAAAGAAGTTTCTATTAATTTTTTTTACATAAAAAAACATTTTTAGCAAACTTAGGGCTGGGAGAGGGGTTGACCTTCATCACATTGTTATCTTTTTTAAGTTTACCACCTCAATCAAAACGGAGCATAATAATGTATTTAGCATTGAAGTGACTCTTTCTACTTCCTCAAATGAGTTGTAGTTTTAATCAAAGTCTTTTATCCCAAAATAATAATCGTTGTAGGAAAATCATGTGAATTATTTCACAATCTTCCAAATTAGTCCATACTAACTTTTCATGCATTTAATGCTCTTATACCTTGTCCTATCACTTAAAAAAAAAGCTTTGTACCTTGTCAACAATGAAATCCATTGAGGCTCCGTTTGGTACACAGAATTCAAACTATGGAATTGGAATTGAGAACCTCAATTTCAATTCTAGCGTTTGGTAAAACAAAAATTATGTGAATTTGGAATTAGTAGTGCAAAAAATGAATTGGAATTGGTGAATTCAATTCTATGGAATTGAATCTCATGGAATTATAATTCCAATTGAATTCCAATTCCATCAATTTCTTGTACCAAACAGACCCTGAGTGTTAGACTTCAACAAGCATAGAAGTGTCATCTTGCAAGATGGAGTTTAACAACTACACCCACTAGAAATACTTTTTCAACTCACTACTCCAAACACGCCATAGAAACAAAAGGGTCCAATCCCAGATAGAATGAGTGTGTGAGGCCCTTACCTGTCATAAAGCCCTGCCCCAGCATAACCTTCTAAATCTTCACCATTTGAGTCTGAGCGGAAGATAATAGATGACCTTATGAAAAGTCCAGTGGCTTTGCTTGGGTAGCCTAGCACCTAAAATTATTCAGAGTTGAGTTCTCCCAATCATATACACCTCAAATTGACATAGACTAATAGTATTAACTAAATTTATAAAGTTAATTTGGATAAAGACGATGACTTTGGTGCCTTTCTTATCTATTGGAATTTGGAATCATTTAAAAAAACATAGAATGCGTAGTATTTTAGTCTCTAGAAGATCAAAAGGGCCAACTGATTACCTGAGGAGAGCTGAGGTCATTCTTTTTGCAGGTAAAACTCATGGCACGGCCTGGGTAAGCCCCAACCAACGTTTCACCTAGGCCTTTGACAACCTATCCAAGCCGTTGGAGACATATGTAATTAAACATATCGAAATGGCTAATGACTACAGTCTATAGAAATCCAAAAGATTATCTTCAAGTAATTTCAGTCACAAGTCAATAACAATCGGTAATGGGTCATTACCAAAGTCAGTGACTTCAATGATGGGCCATCTCTAAAGCTAAGGGCATAACATGTATGTCAAAGTAGCATTAAGGTTATACTTGGTTGTGGACATGATTCAAAATCTTCTATGATATACTAGTTTAAAAAAAGGAGCTAAAGCTAGAAGTAAAAATTTAACCATATGGATTATAAAAAAAAGGCTAATTTTATGATCACACACAGCTTTTCCAATTCATAGTTTGGAATATGCTCTTAATGTGTGTTATTCTTAAAAATCTTTATCTTCTCAATGCCTTATACTATCATATCATTCTTCTAATTTTAGTTAGCAATCTAAGGAGGGGGTCCTCAACATGGAATTTAGAACATTTAATCCAATGATTCATGAATTTGATAGATTTTAGATAAATGTTACAAGTTTCATGAGATTCTAATGGGATTACTTGGATTAATAATGGGGTTTCATGGATATATTAATGTATGCCATAGAACCTTCCATTATATCAAGTTATTAACAATGTAAATATGTGGTAGAGAAGTTCTATCATGGACCTTCTCTCACACATTCTTTTTATTCATTTATTTTAAAAATCTTTTATAAAATCTTATCTCAGTAGTAAGCAAATGCTCATTTGGCTTATAAAAGGTCCACTAGAGACCTTATATTCGTGGAAAATTTACCAAAATTTTAATGTGAGTATGTGACATTCTAATGAGTCTATTATATTAAGTATGAGAAACATAGTACAAAGTAGTTAAATTAAAATAACAATAATTGGATTGATTGTTATACTTATCCGCCAAATTTTGATGAACTTGAACAACTTCAATGATTTTGATTTGTCAACATGTTATAGCCAATAACGTGTTGGTAGATGAAGCATTAGTTAGTGGTTAAGCCTCTAACATTGAAAATAAAATGCTAACAAACAAGGCATCGCTAGTGGAAGCATTCTATGAGTAAACACATTGAATTTTATATATTTCCTTCTCTAACCTTTAGTATTTTAATACATTATTATCAAACTAGATACTCTTTAAATACAACAAAGTCAATAATAACATGGCAATGAAGGTAGAACTTGCATTGGAAGATTTCAAATCCAGACATTAATTGCTCCACATGTATTTTATTTGATGAGTCGAAAAACAAGTCGATATTGCATTACCTCAGCATATATCTCAGATGAATCTCCAGAGGATGGGTTAGTTGTATGGATAACAAATGCATAGTCAGCATTTATTATCTCTTGAACAAGTACAGCCATACAAAGACAATCATGGTCTATTTTCACTTTTCTTGTGCTAAGATATGCTCTCTCATTCCACTTTGAAGCCCACACCTGCGAGATAGTCACGGACCAAAATGCTCATGAACCAGCTGAAACATCAGGAAGCCAAAGATTCATATGGACTATAGAGGGCTAGGAGATAAGCAAAAACTGAAATCTGAAAAAAAAAATCCCTCCGAATATCCATTTGCAAGGAACTACATCGCCACTAGATAATGATGGTACATTTTGTTATAATGCATTCAAATGACAGAAATATCCCTCCCAGTATCCTTACGCAAGGGGCTACTTTGCCACTATATATAAATGGTACATTTTGTTATAATGTACTCCCTCCATCCTACTGGATTTTACAACTTGGGCGGATACACATAATAAGGAGAACAGTTCTTTTTTTATTAAAGGACAATTAAGTCCTCGTAATGAAAATGTACTACTAAAATGAGTAAAAATGATTTTGGAATAGAGAGTAGAGTGATCTTTTATGCTTATGCCATGACCTAAAAAGGAAAGTGGAAGGACAGCCAAATATAGAATGTTGGAAAATACAATCATGACCGGGAGGGAGTACCTTTTTTATTGCGGTCCAAGCTTGTTCCCACCTCTTAGGACTTTCATCACCAGGCCACGACATACATGACCTTTGCATCTTGTCTTTGAGTTCATTGACCTGAAATGTGACCACAACAGCTTGCAAGCTAAGACCCAGAGCAAAGGAAGCTAACATCTACAATTACTAGTTAAGGAATATATGCTACTCCCTCCGTCCCTTAATGTTCTTCCCTTATTGACTTCTTGAGAATTTAAAGGAGTGATATTTTTGTGTTGACTTTCCAAAAATACCCTTGATGGATGTGATAGATAAATTATTAGTAAAAAGGTATGATGTGATAGGTGGGGTAGGAATTAGTAGGGGTAAAAGTGGTTTTTTAATAGAAAAAGGAAGGAGTTTGTGGGACAAGAAAAAAAGAAAGGAGAAAGCGTTAAGGGACAGAGGGAGTAGTATTTGGCTCCTCAATCCAAACATGCATGTAAATATTCAATTACATCCAGCACACATCTTCATCAAAGTGTGCAAATCATTAGCAAGAAGTAATAAAAGGAAGGAGATAAGCGCAAAATATGGAGCGCCCTATATAATATAAAAGCCAGCGTACTCACAGAATACATACCAAAGAAACTAATGTGATATGTATAATGGATGATAAAGATAACAGTACCAGTTGAGATGGGGCAGAAAGTTCTAAAACTGTTTTTCTGATTTCAGAAAAGACACTGAACTCTCCTGCAGACAATCTTTTCTTGAGAACAAGCACTTTTTCTGCCACATCCTGCTAAATTTAAATATATAAAAACATTTAAATAATAAACATCACAATACAAGAAACGAAAAGAGATTAAAGTCTAATACTGCTTTGGACGAAGACAGAAGCAAAACAACATGTCTTTACCCTCGTGTTTCAGATATGCCTGTTTCCTCAAACACTTCGATTGCCCGATTAAGAATCGACAAACAATTTAGTTTCATCTTCTTCAGAGTTAGCTCAAAACGTTGCAGCAGCAGCATGTACTGTTTAGCAGCAACGTCTATGGTATTCATCTAGAAACCAAACCAAAAACATGCCCAGCATATCCCCTCAGAAATGGTGTGAGGGGGGGGGGGGATACGCAGACCTTACCTCTATCCAAAGCAGTAGTGGGGCTATTTTCCAGAGGACCTCAAAATCAGTTACACATAGTGCCAAAGATGTAAAAAAATGCAATGGGGCAAGAAAACAAGAAAAACAAAGAGCCCGCTAACTTCTACCAAACAACAAATAACCAAGGAAGTGGTCACTTTGTAATTCAGTGCAGTAAGCATCAGATGGTTAGTAGGTCTACTAAAGCCAGTATGAAACAATGGAAGGAGGGTGATGGTGTGAGAGATATGACGGAGACGAGAGATGGCAACGGCAACGGGAAATGGCGGCGGGGAAAGGGAGAATTTCTGAAGCAATTGCAGAATTGCTTTGGAACGATTATGGAAAGCATTGAGGAGCAATTAGATTCCATTAAAATATGATTTTTTGTTAATGAACTGATTTGATTTGTGGAATGTTAGAGTCTATCCCACATCGGAAGTTGAACAAAAAAGTAATCAGTATATAAGCTCTTCAGTTGAACTAAGTAATCGATTGAATTCAATGTTTTAATATGGTTCAACCCAAGTGTCTTATTACCCAATTCAGTTATCCTTACCTCATCCTAAAAATTCTCATGGTATCGAAGCAAGTCCGGTCCGGGTTTTATTTTTCCTCGTTGTTGGACGTGGGTTTAGCAAAAAGAAAAAAAAAACTACTTCCAAGTGCTGCAGCTAGTTACCACTTGAGGGGGAGTGTTGGAGTTCCCACATCAAAAAATAAAGATAAATACTACTAGCATATATAAAAGGGTGAAACCCTACCTATCACTTTAAGTTTTTGGGTTAGAATAATGGATCCCGACTTTATATGCAAGTGGTTAATTTTACTCGACACTCCACCCGTTGTTCTCGGCCCACCAGAATTTTAACAATGTTAGAATATAAGAAACATTTATTGGGCCACAACTACAAGCTTGAGCTTTTAGTTGAATTGGTTCCTTGTCATGGTATCGGAGCATGTTTTGGCCTACCTCGTTTGTCAAGATGTCCGTCTAGACGTTCATTCCTAGCGGCCCGTTTGTCTTTAGCCCAGTTGTCCGTATGGAGTATGTACCCAACGGCCTGTGGCCCGTTTAACCCAATTGCTCGTCTGGATGTCCATATCTAGCGGCTCATGGTTCTTTAGGTGTTGACGCTAAAAAAAAATCAAGGAGCTGAGAATCTATTTGCAAGTGGTCAACCACTTAGATTCAAAATGGACCGGTTGACCACTTGAGGGGGAGTGTTAGAGTCTATCCCACATCGGAAGTTGAACAGAAAAATAATCGGTATATAAGCTCTTCAGTTGAACTAAGTAATCGATTGAATTCAATCTTTTAATATGGTTCAACCCAAGTGTCTTATTACCTAATTCAGTTATCCTTACCCCATCCTAAAAATTCTATCACAGAAGAAATTGAAATTAAATTAAGGGCAAAAACAGAACATGGAAAAGCATATGCACCATTATAGCTATAAGTCTTAAATATGTAAAAATTGAAGCTACTCCTATTTGTGTGAAGTGTCAATGTTTTACTCTTTTTTAGCACTAATAACTCTAATACAATGCCGTATATGTCCGTGCATACTTTCTCAACCTAGTTAAATACATAGAGATGGTTCCATTAGACCCTTATACATTGCTGCATTTACTACTAAAAACTTCATCGAAAGTGACACTGCTAAAACACTGAAAAATACAACTATTTTAGCTCCATTGGCAATGGAAATCATTTAGAAACATCGGTTGAAACATTGAGGATATCAGAAGCATCAAATAAAACAGCTTTGGAATGGCACATGACCTGATTAATAACGTCAGAAAGAACTTGATCAAAAACTCCAAAAGGAAGGGCCACTGAAGTAGGAACCCCTATCCAAGATGGCACCTTTCCTTTCAAATGTGCAATATTGCGCGATTTAGCACCAACCTGGGCATGTTCAAGTGACACTGCTTATTTCATTTTTAGACTCAACTAAAATATGGTTGTATATATAATTGATCACATATATTTGCAAAGTGTATCACAGAGCACACGAATCTTCATAAAGAATGAGATAAAATAAAAGCAAGCGCTGGTCAAAAGTAAAACGAAAGCCTCACCAATTCACTGGTGAACTCCTGAGATGCTATTGCATATCTACCGGCAAAGTGTTTTTTTACCAATGTCAAGGACTGAGAAGAGTCACCATCCATAATGTGAATCATTCTCATTAGATCATCCTCTTTCACCTCACTTGATACAAGGAAAATAAGAAGAAACATTGAACTAATTTTTGTTATTGAAACATGAGTTTAGCATTGATTTTAGAACTAAATAATTTTACCAGTATAATATATCACCAGAGATGGGCTTTAAGCTCAAAATCTTTCCCTCCTTTGCTTGAAGGTCAGCCAGAATATTAGGATCAAAGCATGTTGCGAAGCAAACCTGCCAGATCATACATTCATTTAGTTTGACATGCTATTATAATTCATATTCCAACTTATTTACGTGCTACAAATGGTAATACATACCTTTCCATTTCTTGCTCTAACAGAAACATGAGAAAGGACATCTGGCATGTCTGGTGTTAGCACAGCAACGGCGCCATCAGGAATTTCCTCTTCTCCATTTACAGTTTTTGTTACCAAAATTGTTGGCTCGTCATAAGATATGTTTTGAACAGAGTGCAAGTCATCCACGACAACAATGTAACCTGCAGCCTCAACTGGACTGATGATTTGCCAACTGCGTAACCATAACCAGTATATAGTACTCCATAATGAATATGCTCAAATAAGCAAAAAAACATGTCTACCCCAAGATCTTCCCTTCAGTTATTCTTAATTCTATCTTAAGAACTTTTCTCTTCACCTAAACAATGTCATCTAAACTGGGTTTTTGAAGATATAGTCTGATAATGATTCTGGCTTGACCTGGTCTCCAATTTGAATGTTTATAATCTTATCTAGTTTTCTTGCCTGAAATATAACATTTGGTGTGGTCAGATATGGAAATATTCTAGACTGGTCTGAATTAGTAATAACCAAAAAGAATATGTGAACAGAACACCTTTATGTTTCACAAAGAAAAGAGCATGATTCCCATATTTTCATTGAACAGGATTCAGGAATTAAAATATATATTTGTTAACTCAGTTCCAGGCATAGTGGGTTATTATTGTTATTTCAAAGAAATAAATGACATTAGTGTTTGTCATGGTTCACTCACCAGTTACTCCAGGTACATTTTCACTCAAAACATTCGTTACACAGCTTAACATGAGACATTAGCAATCCAACCAACCTTCCAAGATGTGCCGTTTGTCGAAGAACCGGATCAAGTCGATTGATAAGGGAGGATAAGGAAGCAGCTGATCCAGCACGAATAATTTCTTCAGTGAATATATTGACCTGCAATAAGAGAGTACATACATCGATATCTGAACAATCTTAGAATCTTAGTGAACTGAGGTAAAATAGTACTGCAGAGTGTTTTTTGTTAGTAAATAGTAACGTACTGCCCACTGATTCACCCCAAGTTTTGATCCAAGATATTCCGCAGATGGTTGCAATAGATGATGGTACCACTCTGCTTTGCTTGCAAGAGCGAGTCGGGTCCTGTCAAGGACTGATTTTGCAAATAAAGCCCACGAATGGCTTCCACTTCTTAACATGCTCAGACCTTGGTTCCACCCCTTCATATGATCAGTAGTGCTGAATGTTAGTATATAAATATCTGCTAAATGTGTTTAGCTTGTCGTTTTTAGGTCCGTGGTCATCCCATGGGCTAAACATGTACACTGTGATGCTTAAAAGGAAAATGCATAACATCTTAGTCACACAGCAGTATATGGACATTACATGGGGAAGAACTACATTTGGGGCCAACTCATATGAACAAGATTTCTTTCATGGTGGAGAAACTAGCACTTACACGTAGCAAAGATGGTACATGTTAGGATAGTTATTCTTACAGAAATAAAACTTCTAATAATATTGCAGTTGAAGATAATAAGTTTCACTCTCCATAGGCATTCAAAAACTATAATAATATCTAGCATTGCTAGCCAAAGAAATGCACAAAGAGAACCAACATTAGTAGAAACGAATGGCTACAGAATATAATTAAGAAGACCACTTTACATATACCTTCAAGCAATAGACAAAATCTTTGTTATCATCCACAGAGAGCGCAAGATTCTCAATAACAAGAGAGATGAAATAAATAATTTTCTGTAAAAAAAAAGATGGTCATGAATAATAACTTACAGTAAATCAATTGAGAGAACTAAGATAAACAAAGACATATACACTATACATATGTAAGAGCAATGCTGCAAATAGAACCTTTGGTCACTTAGTGGTTGTGACTTGTGAGCACCCATTTTGGTCACTGAGTTGACCACAGCAGGGCACTTTTCGTCCCAAAAGGGAAGATTTGTCCAAAAGTAGCAACTTTGGCACCTCAAAGATGAAAATTGCCACTATACAAAAGCTGACGCCATGAGTACCAAGAGGTTGAACTACAGTTCTACACTGTGGGTATAACTTGGGATTAAATGTGTTATTTTCTTTAATTTAAAAAAAAAAAACCCTCAAGTCTCATATATAGGGCAAGCTTTTGACTAACACAAAAAACCTACAAAATGATTAAAACCATTTAAAATCGTACAGAACATCTAAATATGCCCTTATTTAATAGTACTTCGTTATATGCAAGAACCACAATAACAAATGTGGTTCCTTCATTTAATAGGGACCTTATAGAAAAATAAATTAAATAAGCCTGATAGTATGAAAATGGCTTGTATTTAGGACCATCCTCCATGGCCTATAGATATATTCCATTAACATTAAATAGAGCCCAAGCGAGTATAAAATATACCTCTGGATTTGAAGTATTCAGCTCCTCGTACCCCCTTTCTACAGCTGTCCTCACAGAAGAGTCAAGAGCAATATCAAGAAACAGAAGATCCTTGAGGCGGTTGTTTGGTTGGGAAAGTAATGGCCTAAGCTCTTCACGAGCCTCTAGCAAACCCTGAATACAAAAGTTAATTAAAAAAAACCCCACAGTAGTAACTAGGGTGGTAGGTTATACTGGATTGCATAAGTGGATGGCAGACCTCAAGGAGAGCTTCCACATTTTTATCTTCCACATGATTTAAGATGAACTTAAGCAATTCCTAAGAATCATTTTTAAGTAAAACTCATTAGTTATTTTGTAGAATCTATTATCCAACTGGTGTATGACGGGGTCTGGAAAACAATCTCTTACCGGAAATCCCAATGGCAAGCCTGATACTGGTTTTACTTGTACACCAACCATAAAACCTTCACCCTGAGGAGAACTAAAAACCATTTCAAACAATGGGATATGAGTAGAAATCAATCGTGGCAACAAATTTTCTATTGACATATTACCTCAGCTTTATAACCAATGCAATTTCCAATGGCAGACTCAAGATCAGCACCTGAATGGACTGCCTGCAAAACTCACAGCTTTTCTGAGTTCCTTATCTCAGTCATGTATTCATAGTGCTCCAAGAAAAGTAAGTGTGGCTAAGAACCAGACAAACATATCAGAGGAAGAAATGTGGCGGATAACTTATACTCCCTCTGTCCCAATGAAAGGTTCCAACTTTGACTTGGCACAAAGATTAAGAAAAGTGAAAATGTGTGGTTGGAAGTGATGCAGAGGAGAGAGAAAATACAAGGACCACAATTTTTTTCTAAAAGTGGAAAGTGGAACCGTTTTTGGGACAAACAAAAAAGAAAATGTGGAATCTTTGTATGGGACGGAGGGAGTATCAAAGAAGAAGACATGAAATGTTTTCACAAACCTTCAATGTTCTCATATAGCTTCCTAGATCACGTAAGAGGCCTTCCTTCTGGTCTTTTCTAAAATTTGGTTCAGAATGAATAGCACGATCATAACTTAATAGGCGCTCCTTTGTAATTCCATTGGAATTCAAAGTTTTCCAATAAGCACCAATATCAAAATCACTATTGATATAGTCAATTAATGCCTGCAAAATTAAAATCTCCTTTACTGCATAAAAAGGCAACCATATTCGAATAGAAGATCTAGCATAGTGGCATCCTGGATACTATAATAGAGAGAGTAGTCCAAGGTCTTATTGTTTCCTTTTATTTCTATATTTGGTCAATCTGGAACGGTTTAACATGTCCTCAAACGATGGTGACTCATTTAAGTTGATCAATCTTGAAGTTTATGTGCTCATTGTTTAAAACAACAACAACAACAACCCAGTTGGATCCCACCGGGTCTGCTCATTGTTTAAAACATCAATCCAATTGCACGCTTGAGCATAGCAGCTTGGGATATCATAGTAAAACTTGAATTTCATCCTAATGGTAATCTTATAGTCCAAGCTCTTAAATATTGCTGTGTATTTTCATATTTGGCCTACGTGTGATGGCTAAACAGACCTGACATATCACAACATCATCAGGGCTAGTGTTATTATGCAGCTTCTGGTGCCATTCCTCCACCATTCCACCCTTGCAATCATTCTTCCGCTGCAGTTCAAAGTTATCAACATCGGTTGCCATTCCACAGAAAGTGGAGTATAAAAATATTGAAGTCAAAGCAAGTCAAAGCTACCTGAATAACCAGTATTTCATCCCTGATGCGCTGCCCTACATCTCCTTCTCCTCCACGCCCCACAGCTGACATAATCATGCGCAATAGTCCACGGTATTGTGGAAAATTTATGTAAACATTCTGCAGCATATCTGTCAGCCTGTCCTGAGATCTGCTAATCTCACTGTACATCAGCGGAAAGACATGGTTCAAGGTTAGATACTGCACATTAGGAAATCAAGCACGAAGAGGCGTGTAAAGAGGCATATTTCAAAGTATCCTACCGTGGCTTTACATTGTAGTTTTTGTTCCATATAAGCTGTCTTGTAGCCATAAACCGCATCCACACAACAATTGCTGCAAAACCTAACTCACCAGCCTCTGTGGCTTCTTTTGTCAAGTCAGCTGCAATATTAAACCTGTGAAGATAAAAAACAAAAGGAAATTCACAAAAATTGTGTTTAAATAAGTGCTATATGCCTATATTTTTCATGAAACTAACACAAAATCATGTCTTATCATGCAAGGGATAAGTTATAAGAAGACTACGAGAGCATATGTGAAATAGACCTTCATAAGTTCCATTATATGTGCAAACAAAAGCAACAAATCATTATGGAACTACAGGATTGGTTGAAAATAGCCTGACATGGAAACAGTGAATCACCAAATAACATAAACACATTAACTTTTATTTTCGAAAACACCTTAACACTATGCTACAACACCATAGTGTACATTCACATGAATACATGTCTAGTTCCATTACAATACGACTGTGGATGAGCACAGAGTAACCTGTTCCATAAGTTATTGCAGGACCCATCCATGCTACAATGTAACATACTCCGTATCATTTACTTGCTCCAATAAATATAAATACTCTTTAAATATCCAAATGGCACGACAGTTGCCTTGAGATGATCCAAATATGTCATGATTTGAGCAACATGAATGATGTCTAGAAATAGAAAGCCAAATATTCTTTATGATAAAAATTTGAAACCTAATAAGCCACTCACCTGTGCATGAAGGATTTCTGAGCTTCACTTTCCATGTTTGCTATTTTATCCAACAAAGCCTTTGCCATCCCCCTACCATCCTAGTAGAAAGAAAAACGGTAATATCACAGAGGAAAATTGATATGAGATGATAAAAAATAACCATCAAGGACCCATTTTATTTTACCTTCATAGGTTGAGCATCAAACTCGGTATAAAAGTCTGACCCCTTGTCTTTTATCCAGTTTTTACCACACAAAAGAACAAATGGCATGCCAATAAAATCTCCACCTCCAATTGTAATTTCTAAGGATTGGACCTGAGAATTGGTACACAAATGCGATTCGTCTCTCATTCTCATCAATTATTTTGCTTTATTTAGGTTTTTCGCAAAAATAAACTAAAAGGTGGACCGGTTGTATACCTTATAAGACAAATTATCAGGACTGCATGAAAATGGGGTTTCAGCATAATTACGTGAGGAAACTGATCCATGAGGCAACACGTTTGAAGGTGGTGCCTGAAAAGTTATCACCGTTGTTGATTCAACATAAACTGAGTATGATGTTCAGAATTTGAACATTTAGGTATTCACAAGTCCCAAATCAATCACTTCCTGCATCTTACCAGCCATTCTCCAGGCTTACTGGATAGAGCCCAATGAAGAATTACACGTTCATTAAGATCTGTCGCCAGATAAACTTTTGTCTTACCCGAGGGTTTTGCTACAAGTACCTACAAAAGTACAAGGAAAATGTTTTCACGATTATATTTGTATTACTCGTGTATTTTAGTCCAAGTACTACTATACACACTAACCAAAAGTTCATTGTTATGAATCTTATATATTTTCTTCGTTACTATAGGACCATCAATATGTCCTTCCTTAGACTTGGCATGCAGCTCAATTGCAGATAATATTTGCACTACATGCCCAGAAGCTTCCTTATTGATAAGTTGACCCAGGTCTCTTTTCTTCCTCTGAATCCTTTCCATGTTGAAATAACCCTTTTTCTCTACTTTCTTGGCAGCCTTAGTTTGTATTTCTCCCTTTAAAACCTTCTTCCGCAACTCATCATGTGAAATGCCCTTTTCAAGTTCAAATTGCAATTCTCTGCTTGCTTCTTCAAATTGTTTCTGTTATTGAAACAATAATCATAAGAATTTATAACTTAATTTTCTTGGGCTACATTGGCATTTCTTTGTTCAAACATAAAATTAGATTCAAGATTTACAAGCTGTTCTTCTGCAGAATAGATTGGTTTTCCTGCTTTCTCCCACTGTATATATGCTTGGGTTTGCAGCAGCTCTGTGGGTATAATGTCCTTCACTTTGTCAGAAGTCTGCTCTTTGAGATTAACTGCATGATTTTTCTTTGTTAATCGCGCTCGAATGTCCACTATGGAAGTACCCTTCAATATTTCCTCTAAAAGTTCAGTTCTTGCCGCTTCATATTCATCCTTCAAACATTATATCATTAGTCATAAATAACTACGCTCTCATATTTTTCTTATTGCAACTACATTATAAAACCAAAGAATAAATAGCACTAAAGAAGAAGAAAAGGTCACAAGTGCAAAAATATATAACGATCACAACATGAACTCCTATGTGCGCCGATATCTATATTTATATCCCTAAACCCCCTCTTGCCCCCCATCCCAACACCCCCCCCCCCCCCCAAAACACTGAAATGCTACATTAACACCGTAGCATTTCGGCATTTTTTTGGGAGAGGGGCGGGGGGTTTAGGGGGGTAGGAACCATCAATTTTTTGATCGGAAAACTGTAGCCTTTGTTTTCATAATATGAAAACAAAAGTTGTCAAAATAAGCGTGGTGATATTTATATAGGTATTGACATAGAATAGCATAGGCATGATTGGAGTGACAAATACCTTAACTCATGTTTCATGAACTTGGGACTTCAAATGGGTTTAAATTAACAAATTAGAAATATACAGTCCTAGTCCACTAGAACCAATTTTCTCAAATCACATACTTTCTCTTGTTCAGGGTTATATGTATGTTTTCCTTTCCTCTCCCACCTCAAGTATGCTTGGATCTGCACAAGATCCTCAGGAATAGCAACATTTGAATGTGGTCCTCTCATAGCCATCTGTGGTTCTCTGGGAGGCATTTTGACCTGGAAGTTCTTGCCATTATTTTTTATCCTGATGAAAACACGAAGGGAAGAGAATGGATCATGCCACTCTACCATATTCTTCTTTCCATTTACAAAAGAACTGACTTTGTTTTAACAAAAATCACCATACCATTTATTTCGGGGCTTGTGATATATAACAAACTCTATGGCTTGTATTGCAGGATCGTCTATATCTAACCTCACAACTGCATCAGACCCCGACTAGTGGAACATGTTTAAATGTGTAAGTAAGCATTCACTATTAGTATAATAACTAATTAGTACTTTGTAACTCACATGTGTAATTATCATATATATATATATATATATATATATAGAGAGAGAGAGAGAGAGAGAGAGCATTTAATCCTTTACTATAGATTCTATCCTAACGTAGTCTGATATATCCAAAAACAGATGCTGACAAAGAACATACTTGCATGAGAGGAGATCGAAGTGCGCTGTTCCTATATACCATGGTTCCATTTGGGCGGCAGTGAGGAAGAATCCACTTGCTAATAGAATTACAGCGGAATGGGATAGTCAAATACCGGCGTAAAATCTCAATGAATCCCAAATAGCAATTACAGTTAAGCTTACTATTTCTCAGATTTTATTGCACCCCAATGAAGAAATAGGCCATTGCTGCTATTGGAAACTTTTAAATCAATCTGAACATGACCTGAACTGGGTTGCCTTATATCAACCTGTTCAATCAAAGAAGAGAATATAATATTTTTCACATTAACTTAACAATGCAAATAGCTTAGAATTCCTACGTAAATGAAGATATATGCACTTTTTATCAATATCACTGACATATTTGACGAGTGCAACCGAGTATCATTCACAATTACTCTAGCTGAACCAGCAGAAATACCTGGAGTTCCATATTTCCTTCAAGTTTGAATTTCTGTGCAATCTGCTTTAATAAAGGAAACATAATGTAAAAGTCTATACGCATTGAAATGGTTGAATGCATACAAGAAAACAAAGTAGATTATGGGCATTCATATAGGGTCGCTCCTCAATTTCCCTCAAGGGTTTGTTTGGTTAGCCGGTATGAAGAACCAGAAATCCCAAACCAATTCAAAGTGTTTGGTTGCCATTTTTACAGTTTTCATTCTGATTTCTCAAACTCCCAGGAATCTGTAATTACTCCCTTAGTCCCTCTCTTTCTTCCTTCTCCCATATCTCTATCTCCCTGATACCCTGTCTCACCCCCCCTATCTGAGCACAACTTGTTGTAGCGGGGCATTTGGACACAATTTACTGTGGCCGCAGAAAGAGTATGATTTGTTGTGACCAATTGTTATCAGAATTAGGGGAAGATGGTGGGTCTGATCGTTTCTAGAACATGAGAATTTTGTTCTCAGGACCTCATTTCTTGTTATCAGAAAGTAAGTTTTTGTCATATGCCCTTGGCGGAGTAGTAAGGTAGTGTTCCCTAACTTATTATTAAATCATTACATCAAATTCAATAGGAAATCTAAACAAAATTATTCCTTTCTCCGTACCTAAATATTTGTCACACTTGCATTCACAAAGTAAAATATTAAATTTTTTCAATTAATTTTATTTACATATTGGCATAGAAATAAAAAATAAAACTTACATATCAAAAAACTACATGGAAAGTTCTTCGAACTAAGAGGTGTCAAGAATATTTTATTTTATCAAATAACCAATGAAAACGTAGAAATAAACCAAAGTTCTGCGACTGTTGAAAAAGAAAGTGTGGCAAATATTTTGGAATGGATGAAGTATTATTATTATTATTATTATTATTATTACTATTACTATTAATATATTGATTACAATTATTATCAAAATATTTGCACTGAATAGCACTAAAACTTAATTCATTTCTCTAAATAGCAATTAAATTGTTTTATTTTCTAAATAGCACTTAACAATGTCCAGAAGAAAGAATCTAATGTCCAGTGATAACAAACATTTACTTGAATAATGACTAATGGATAATGACTGAAAATGCTACATTGAGAAAAAACAAATGCTATTTAGAGAAAGTCATTATGTTTTTGCGTTATTCAAGTAAATTCCTCATTATTATTACTATTGTTATTATTATTATTACTATTAATAATATTATTATTGTTACTATTATTATTATTATATTTATTATTATTATCATGATTACTATTATTATTGCTATTACTATTATTATTAGTATTCTTATCATGGTTATTATTATTATTACTATTCCTAATACTATCATTATTATTATTACTATTATTCCTACTACTATTATTATTATTACTATTTCTATTATTACTTTTATTATTATAACTATTATCATAATTATTATGATAAAAATTTTAATTTTAATCAAATTCATATCAGATAAGGCTCAATCAGATCAGATCAAGTCAAGTCAGATCTAACCAAATCAAATTAGATCAGATCCAATCAGATCAGATCAAAACTTCAAAAAATTAAATTGAATCATATCAAATGGAACACACTAAGGCTGCTTCGTGCTGAATGATTGTTGGATCTTGTGATTTCATTTTTTTTGAATATGTTTGTGATTTGATCTAATGAAAAAATAAGTTGAAGTGTTGAACGGAAGACAACCTAATTCATCAAGTGAAACTCCACTCATTGTTTACGTTAATAACTCCACTTGAAATTCTTATCGTTTCGTTCTATGATGTTTCCCAAAAATTATGTTTAATTTATTAGATTATAGGTGTAAAATTAAAAAGAAAAAATTATCTTAAATAATCTTACATTTTCCCTTTTTTTTAAAAAAAAAATCTCATTTTTCACTGTTACCGGAAATAATCTCACTTTTCCACATATGTACGAGTTTTGAGTCGCAGTTAAGAAGTTATAAGCCACTTAACGGAATTTTTGAAAAATGCATGTTTTTCGTAAATAAATGAAATGTGAAATTATTTTAGACAAATTTATATTTTTTCTTTATTTTTAGTTTTAAATTTTAAATTAATGTTATTAAAAATATAACAATACACTCTGGTTAGTTATTTGTCTAAGTTTTTTTTAAAAAAAATTGAACGATTTACAAATTTTGTATTCTGTTCTATGGGAAATATATATTGGATTATCAGAAAATAATTGAGAGTATCGCTCGAGAAAGAAAATGCAGTACAAACAAGTTGTAGTGAGTTATAAAAAATTAGTGGCGTTTTGGAGGAAAAAAATGTGTCATTTTCAAAACTTTTGAAGCGTTTTGGCGTTATGAATCGTTTTTTGATATACTAAATTATCAAAAAAATCACAATTTTTGTAGTGTCATTTTAGAAAAATAATAAGAGTAAGAGAAGATTATCGATAAACATTTTGAAGTGTTGTTCATGAAAAAAATTGCAATACAACAAAAAATGTAGTGAGTTATAAAAGGAAAAGTTCCATTTTAGAGAAAAATTTATTGTATTATTTTCACAATTGTTGTAATATTGTTTTGCAAAAAACACTTATCTAGAATTATTGAAAAATATTCACATGTTTTGTAGTGTCATTTTTTATAAAATAATAATAGTATAATATCGAAAAACAATTCGAAGTGTTGCTCAAGAATATAATTGCAACTTACGAAAAAATGTAGTCTTATGAAGAAAATAAATCAGTTACATTGTGTAAAAAAAATTATTGTGTAACTTAAAAACTTTGGAAATTTAATTTGGATGAAAGGGTTATTACGAGATTATATTGAAAAAAAAAATTACTTTCACTCTAAAAAAAATTTTAAATTTGGTATTATTTATAAAAATATTTTTTAAAAAATATATTTAGATATAAGGTTAGAAATTTAAAATATGAAAAAAAAGAGAATTTAGCTAAAATAATCCACCTTTCATTGATTTACGAAAAAACAAGAATTTTCTAAAAATTCTATTAAGTAACCGTTAACATCCTAACGGCTACCCAAAACTCGCACAACCTCCTACCATGTCACCGCACCTCCCCCCTCCACAACCTCTTACCATCGCAACCCCCCTCCCACCCCCGCCGTCACATACCTGCAGCCTCCTTCCATCATAACGCAGAGATCTATCTTTGGACTTGCACATAGCAGATCTAAGAAATAAAAATTGTCACTTTAATTTCGTGCAGATCTAGATCTAGTCGGATCTAGTAGTGTGGGAGAAGGAAGAAGAGAAAAAGATTGAAGAAGAAGGACAAAGAAATCGGAAGAAAAAGTAGAGGAAGAAAGAAAGAAGAAAGAGAAGATGGAGTGATTGGTTGGACAAAAACAGAAGAGAGAGGAAGAAAAAAAGAGAAGAAGAAAGAAGAAAGAAAAAAAAAGAGGGTGGCAGAAATAAATCGGAAGGGAGAAAAGAAGAAAAGAGAGGAAGAGAGGAAGAAGAAAAAGAAGAAGAAGAAAAGGAAAGTGGGACAGAACCAGCAGGGAAGGAAGAAAAAAGAAAAGAAGAAAAGAAGTGAATGGGGAGGGTATTTGAGTCTTTTTACCTTATAAAACTTACTAAAAAAGGAAATGGAAAGATAATTTATGGACGGATGAAAAAGGAAAGTGGAAAGATAATTTGTGGATGAGGGAGTAAATTTAAGATTCTACAACACAAGATGTGACATCATTATATTATTCTATCAAATGACTAACAAAAATATATAAAAAATATTATTAAAATTTAACCATGTGCTCGAATAATAATTGGGAAAAAGGTAGGAGTCACTATCAATAAGATTGGGTATACACCAAGATTTGTACACTACATGAGCAATGCTAGAGGTACACCAAAGATGTACCCCATTTGTCCCTCACCCCTCTTTCTACCACTCAATTTTATTTTATTTTTATTTATATAATTTTTTTTAGTCTCTTGCCTTTTTTTTGTAGTTATGGAAGGGGTGGGGGACAAATGGGGTACACCACCCCTAGCATTTTTCATTCGAGATACATACACAACAATTTTTTCTGCACCACAAGACAGTTGTTGTATGTTTGTATAAGTACTGTATAAGTCTTGGCCTGCCCCTAACATAAAAAGGTTCATCTCATAAAAAACTTTCACATTTACAAAAAAAATTGTGATTTTTTTTAATTTTTTTCTCCTTTACATCATTTTCAATCATATAATTTTACCTTTTAATCTCCCCAAGTCAAAGACTCAAAGGGGAGATATTTTATTAGGAGGTAGGGAGTACCATGTAATATTAAGTCGTACAATCTCAACCGATTAAACTACCTAGAGTTATTATCTCCACTAGAATTTGAACTTGTGACCTTTTCATTTGAGACAACCACCGTGATATATCGAAAAAATTACAAGTTGAGTAGTTTCATTTTAGAAAAAATAATACGGTAATGAAAGATTATCAATAAGCATAGCATTTCGGATTCATGAAAAAAATTGCAATACAATCGAAAATGTAGTAAGTTGCATTTCAGAGAAAAAATATTATTGTATTATTTTCACAACTATTGTAATGTTGTTTTGTAAAAAAACATTTATATAGAATTATAAAAAAAATTCTCAAATTCTGTAGTACCATTTTTTAAAAAATAATACTCCGTAATAGTATAGTACCAAAGAAATTCAAACTGTCGCTCAAGAAAATAATTACAACTTACAAAAAAATGTAGTAAGTTATGAAGTAAAAAATTTAGCTCCATTGTGTAGAATAATTTATTGTTTAACTATTACCAAATTATCGATTATTGAAAAAATAATTAGTTTTACTCTTAAAAAAATACTTATATTTGGTGGAGTATTTTTACAAAAACATTTTTAAAAAATACATTTAAAATTAATTTTAAATGAAAACCAGCTGGGATACCATTATGTTTCAAAGTTTATAATTAGGGTGCTTCTATGTTACAAATTGAAATTAGAGTAGTTTTTTTTATAATGCTAAAAGTTGGGTGAACCAAAAAAGTTTCACTATGTTACATAATTACATTCATTTGAAAATGAGTTTCACTATGTTACACTCCGGCGAGGTTCCCATGACATTAAAATCTCATGTCATGAATGATCCGGGTTTGGGGCACTCTGCGCCCGGTTCGTAAAAATGACGGTTCTTACCCTCAACCTTTCGATAAACTCAGCCCCTACCCGAACACGATGCCGGAAACAATGAACATACATAATGAATGCATGATGATTAATGGTCCATTTTTTTCATATTACCTGGGAAGAATGATGGGTGGCAAACATGGACTCAAATGATCCAGGAACTGCAGAAGGCCGATGAGCTGCCGCCATTGAAATGTCCTCTTTCAGCAGAGCAAATCTATCAGAGGACCATAACAATTCAGACAGCAATAAAGGAGACCTCCGTAACTGTGACCTCACTTGGCACCCAAACAAGGAACTACCCCCGACATAAGAAACGGATCCGGATCCGATTCCCCCACGGCATTCCAACACCGCACCCGGAAGAAACCTCCGATGCGCCGCCGCCGAATTACTCCCCATCAAACTCCCCATATTCCTCCCTCACCTCCCAGATCTCAACATTCAATATCACCAAGTAATCGATTAATCGCCTTCAATTCCTTTACACGATTACGCACAGGAACTCCCGGAGATCGGAACCGAACTGGATCGATCCCGACGAATTCGCAGGTTGAGATCGGTAGACGAAACGGACGATCCAAATGTGGCGATAGATCGGAGTTCGGAAAAAGGAGCCGATCGGGAATTTAGATCGTTTTAGGCGATCGTCGGAAGCCGGAGAAGAATCGGGACGAGGCGGCGAGAAAGTGGAGGGTTGTTATGATTGCACTGCGGCGGCATATTTTGAAGAGGAATGGCGAGAGGAGAGTGGGAGAAGGCGGGAAGCGGAAAGCGTAGAGGCAAAGAAACCTGGATTCTTTGTGCCCCCTCCATCCAAAACAAATTTCCACTCAAATTTCAAATTAAAGGTTCACGTCTCTATACCCGGACGGACTTTAAGATCATTCCTGTTCGCGTATATTACAGCACTTGTTGTGCACACATTAAGGGCACCCGAGTTGTATCAATCGATATTCCCTAATCCGGAAGAGATAATAAGATTGAACATACTACACTATAGAATTCAAACTATGGAATTGGAATTGTGGACTTCAATTCCAATTTTGGTGTTTGGTAGCACAAAAATTATGTGGATTTGGAATTGATAGTGCAAAAGTGAATTAAAATTGACAGAATTCAATTCTATGGAATTGAATCCCATAGAATTTCAATTCCAATTCCACCAATTCCTTATACCAAACGGACCCTTATGGTATGTTTGGAAGCATGGATTTGGATTTCAAATTCAGATTTGGCTCAAATTCCATGTTTGAGAAATTTAAAATTTTTAAATTCTTCTAATTCGTAACAAAATTCAGATTCAGATTCAGAATTTCAAATTCAGATTTGGCTCAAACTCAAATTCTTCTCATTCGTAACAAAACTTAATTTGAAATCCATGTACCTCCCTTTGTCATTGGAAATTCAAGATTTCAAATTTTGGAATTGAAATACATGAATTGAAATAAAATATTAGTTGCCAAACATTACCTTAAGTAATACTAAAATATGGTGACTCTCTCAATGTAATACCAACATTCAAGGGGACGGAGGGGAATGTTTTAGTACTATTTAGTACAAATTTTACTTTGACTTTTAGCCAACATAAGGAAAGTATATGTATGGTTGACATTACAATTTTGGCCCTAATGTGATGGGTAAAAGAAAGATGTGATAATTAGAGCAGCGAAAATGGGTGTGACGCCCACCACCGTCAACCCCGATTTTAATGCCCGAGGGCGGTGTTTAACAGGTGTGATATGTTCATCGTCAAACGTTTGACGCGATGCTCCCCTCCCCCAACGGCTAATTTAGCCGTTAAACCAAAAAAATTCTAAATTCAAAAAAAACCTATAAATTGCCCCAAAACAAACTTATCTCTCACACATCTCTCACTATCTTCTCTCTACAATTCTATCAATCTTTCAATTATTTGATCATTTATTATAAATATATATTTATAAAATATATTTTAAAAATGGGATCATCTTCATCCGATGATGAAAAAAGAGCTCTCATTTTTTGTTGTTTCGTCACGAGTTGTGTTCAATGGTGGGAACAAGGCGAAAAAAAAGAAGCCGAATCCTCCCGACGCCGGACCCGGACCCGACGACAAAGTTTAAACCGGGATCGAGCGGCTGCCGACGCTTCACTTCTCAACAACTACTTTAATACTCCGTGTGTTTATACACTAGAGGATTTTAGTAATCGTTTTCGAATGAGTCGTCCTCTCTTTTTACGCATACTCGCCGATGTTGAACGCGAGGGGCCTTGGTTCACCCAACGCTTTGATGCGAGAGGCCGACGCGGGTTTAGTAGTGTCCAGAAGTGCACTGCTGCGCTTCGTCAGATGGCGTACGGGACGACATCTGATATGTTCGACGAATACTTGAAGATGTCGGCTCGGAGCATCATGTCTTGTGTTTATAAATTTTCTGAAGCTATTATTCAAATTTATCATAAAAGATATTTACGCAAGCCTACAGCGAGCGACATTCAGCAGTTACAAGCAAGGCATGCCGCTAAACACGGCTTTGTTGGCATGCTTGGGAGCATTGATTGCACGCATTGGGAATGGAAAAATTGTCCCACTGCGTGGCATGGTCAATTCTCCCAGGGGGATCATCCCAAGCCTACTATCATGCTCGAAGTTGTTGCTTCAAATGTCTTGTGGTTTTGGCACGTTTTTTTGGGTGTCGCGGGCTCGAACAATGACATCAACGTTCTCGATCAATCGCCTTGTTTTTGACGATTGGATTAATGAGACCGCACCCGACTCATCTTTTGAGCTTAGAGGGACGTTTTACAAGCGTGGATATTATTTGGCCGATGGAATATATCCAGATTATTCCACGATTGTCAAGTCACTCTCCGAACCAATGGGTCTTAAAAGCCAGACCTACAAAAAAGCTCACGAGGCGGCAAGAAAAGATATTGAACGAGCCTTCGGGGTCTTGAAGGCTAAGTGGCACATTCTAGATTGTCCGTCGAAATGTTTTTCTCAAACAAAAATGAGGAACATTATCATGTACGCATGTATTATTCTTCATAATATGATTGTAGAGGACAACGAGTTTGCGATTTATCAATGCAACCCGGACGCAGAGGTGCCTATATACGAACAAATCGACGAAGAAAAGAAACAAAGAAACCGCCAAGAAATTCGAAGCTGAGAGATTCACAATGCACTAACGGCGGATTTGATTGAACATATATTCAGTCGCTCGAATAATTAGTAATTTCTTTGTAGTGTTGTTTTTTATGGATGTAATATTTTTTTAATGAATGTAACTTTTTTTATGAATGTATTTTTTTATGAATGAAATATTTTTTTTAATGAATGTAATTTTTTAATGCACTAGTCTCCTTTCGATTATTTTAAATAATAAATTAATTAAAATTTATTATTTTAAATTTAGAAGATGTATATTTAAAAATGTAAAAAATGAAGGTTTGAAACCCCTGTTTGAAGCCCTAGGGATTGAAACCCATTTCCACTGAATCTGTGAGGTAAGTTAAAGCTGATGTAGCATAGAGAGAAATTTTGAAGCCCCGGGGCTTCACGGGTATTTCCAGTGCCCTTAAATTATTAATGAACAAATATGATGTGATAGGTATAGTATGAAAAAGTAAAGGTAAAAGTGAATTTTTTAAAATAGAAAGTAGAAGTATTTTGAGAAATTTAGAGAAAATGAAAGAGAAACTGCTTTTTGAAATGGAGCGAGTATATTACACTGATGGGTATGAAAGTTTCTAAAAAATGAATCACCTCTTATTTTCATTAATATTTTGTTTTATCTTTATTTTTAAAAAAGATAGATACACATTCTAGGATTCTTTCTAGGATATGTCCATAGTAGAACGATCTTATGCTAAGCAACCCATTCAAACACAAGTGAAATCATTGTTTCTGAGTTTCATGAAAGGAAATTAAAGAGATGGAACACCTTAAAAATTAAAACATCATAATTAAGAATCATGTTTTTTGCTAGGGATGCAACTTAGGGGATTGAAGTGCGAATGTCAAAAACGGTAAACCTAGATTCGACTCTTGACAATAACGATAAAGGATGATCATGATGATCTGCATGAAGTTTCATACACGCCTTAAAGAGAGTCTTACTTCTTGGCGAGTACTCTCGGATCTGATATTAAGAGGACATTCAGATCCGAATTGGAGATCAACGTTTTTTCCAATCAAGCTAATTTTCATCAATTGTTGTCATTTTCATTTTTCTTGCAATAGATATGATAGCATCCTCAAAAATACCTCAATTTACTAGCTACTTGCTTCATGGCTTTAATTTGAGCTGCAGAATCCACTCGCGAAACAGTTGTATCAAACTTTTGAGCGAAAATAACTCGTAAAATATACAGACGACTTCATGTAAGTAAAAATTATATACATTAAAAGATACTCTGTAATAATATTTATGAGTAATTATTAAAATTCTCACATTAAGTATTCTTTAAATGCAAATTCTTAAGTGTACTTAAGGTCTGTGTTAATTTTATGAAATTTAGTTCATTGATATCATAAGAGAATTGAACCTTTTGCAAAAAAATTACTTGCAAGCCCATAAGACCACGGAAGAACAACTAAATTTTCAAATTAAATACATATATTATGTGTAATTTTACATTTTTCATTTAATTTAAACTAATCATTATGAATGTTCTCATACACAAACTTTTAATAATCAATTTAAACATAACGGAAAAAGCATAATTTAACCAATTATATTCTCCGTATTTTTTTTATGTATATTTACTCATTCACAAAATAGACAATAATTCTACTGTTGTGTAACAACAGCCAAGGTGTTGTCGAGATATCTGGCGTAAAGCTTGATGGTTGTTTTCAAAGGGTACCCCACCCCAAAATCGTCCAGCGCATCCCCGCAGTCGCTCAGCAGGGCCGCGCTAAGGCGGGTCATGAGCGTGCCGTTGTCCTTGGCCTTGAGCGCCTCGAGCGAGAGCTTGAGGTCATCCACCACGTCCTCGAAGCTCTCATCGCACGTCTTGACGATGGAGTCCTTGGAGTCCGCGGGCAAGCCGGTCGTGGCGGCAGAGATGACGGTGCCGCTCATGGCCCGGAGTTTCTCCGCCAGTTCGAGGGTGGCCCTTATGGAGTTTGCGGTGGCGTCGTGCAGGTTCGCCGCCCCTCCCACCATCCGCGTGCAGAGCCGCTTGCTGCTGGCGGTTTTGCAGAACTGGCTCACGGGGGAGCCGGGCTTGAACGCGGGGAGGAAGGCGTTGGCGCCGCCGCAGAGGAGGAGAAGGAGGAGGAGCGCCGCCGGCAATGCTACTACCCTTTGGGGCGTCATGTTTTCTCGATTTTGTGAGGTAATGGTTTTCCGGCGCGATGGGGTCGTCTGAAAATTGTGCCCGTCACCGCCTCTAGGATTAATTAGCCGGGAGAAAAGGCGGGTAGGGATTAAAGGCTAGATTAGGGAAAAGGAATGAGATATATAGTGATTAGTTTAAGTCCGAAAATTAGGGGCGTTCATTAACGTTTGTGGTGGCCAAAAAATTCGCCACATTTTAGCCTCTCAATTGACCAACAAACCATTCCTCAATCAATATTAATTGATGCAAATTACTCCATCCTCCCAAAATGTTCTATGTACAAGCAGATTTTTTTAGTTAAATTTTAGAAATATTGGCCGCAAATTACGGAAAAATATATATACTTACAAGGTAAATTTGATATAATTCGATTCATTATAAAATGTAGTTTCAATAAATTAAATTTTGACTATGGATTGTGAAAAAGACTATTTAGGCCCCGTTTGGTACACGGAATTCAAACTATAGAATTGGAATTGAAGACTTCTATTCTAATTCTGGTGTTTGGTAGCACAAATATTGTGTGGATTTGGAATTAATAGTGCAAAAAATGAATTGAAATTAGTGAATTCAATTCTATGGAATTGAATTCCATGGAATTTTAATTCCAATTCAATTCCAATTCCATCAATTCCGTATACCAAACGGACCCTTAATTAGTTTCAATCGTCTTATTATGTCGTTTTGGCATATCAAATTTTATAACATTTGTTTATTTAAATTATACTCCCTCCGTCCATGAAAGTAGTTCTCTTATTGACTTTTTCGGAAATTAAGGGAATGATATTTTGGTGTTGCGTTTCCAAAAATACCCTTGATGTGATGAGTAAAAGTAAGATGTGATTGATAGATTATTAGTAAAAAGGTATGATCTGATAGGTAGGGTATGAAAAAATAAAGAATAAAGGTGGTTTTTTAACAGATAAAAGGAGTTAGTGAGACAAAAAAAAGAAAGGGGAAGGAGTTTAAGGAACGGAGGGAGTATTTAATTTGTAATTAAAAAGTGCCAAAATTTCAAGAAAGCCAAAACAAAATGATTTTTAGATGTGGTATCATCTAATAATTGTTGAAATGTCACATTGTAAATGTGAGAAGCCAAATTATTAAGTTATTTTTGGGGCAAAAGGAGTATATTGGCTATATATCGAGGTTTCATTTTCTTAATCAAATTAAATACTTCATAAATTTAGTTGCAAGAAGACACATCTAACCCACAAACTCCGACCAGCAGTACCATTCCTCTAAACTTTTCCTGTAATCAGCTCGACCAACTTACCCCAACTTCTACAAATCCACAAACGTCATCCACACATATTTCACAGTCTTCTGAGTAGCATATAGAGTCTATCAATCAGAATACTTCTGGTGTGTAAACATATTTTAGATGAGTATAATTTTTATTTGAAGTAATGCAAATGTTCCTTTATTTGATGATTATTAATTGATATATTATAGCATCAAGAACCTCTGCCAAAAGATCTGATGAGAGTGCTAGAGGATCGGAATGTGTCGAAGGTCCATCAAATGAGGGGCCGTACGATGTTTATGTTGCCGATGGCGAGAAAGTATTGTTAGACAAATGTGCAACTCTAAAGGGGGGGTGAATAGAGTTGTTTTCAAGAATGTGCGTTTTTCGCGTGTGTGAAATAATAAAATCGCAGGAATAAATAAAGAGAGTAAGGGAAAGAAGAACACCGAGATTTATACTGGTTCACCACCTCGTGGCTAGTCCAGTCCTCCGAGAGACTCTCTCGAAAGTCCTACTAATCTTCAAGCTTCAACGGGTGCCTGAAAAACCGGTACAACTTGAGAACTTGAATCACACAAGACTCACTTTCTTACAACAACAAGACTTGAGTCACACAAGTCTTAAGAACAACACTCAAATGAGATTGAGTTTACAACACAAGAATGAAAGCTCACACAATTGAGCAAAGTAGTGTTGAAGAATTAAAGCTCTATGGATGACAAAATCTTTGAGCACTCAATAAAATATTTCTAACTCTCAAAATAATATATTTGAAGAGGAAGATGGAAGCAAAAATTGAATATTGATCAAAGAAGATATTGGAGTGCAAGAAATTGTGTTTTTAATGAAGGGGGATGAGTGTTTTTATAGGGGAAAAAGAAATAAATCTGTTGGAAGTAGGGAAGAGGTGATTTTTATAGATTAGAGCGTTGGGGATCGATCCACGGCAAAGGATCGATCATCTGGAGTAAACTTCCGAAAATAAATTTGTGTCAAAAGCACGGGGGATCGATCCAAGGCAGGGGATCGATCCTCTGGAACCAAAATTCTGGAAATGAATTTTTGCAAGGCTTCGGCGGATTGATCCAGGTAAATGGATCGATCCCAATCCCTGAGCGCAAAACACGATTATCGATTCTAACAAATGGATCGATCCATTGACGAACAGCCCTCAAACATGAGGACCCAAGACATGTGTGCGCGTGGGATGGATATTTAGAGCTTAATGTTTTGTTTAGGACAAGATTTTGAATGTCATAAGGCTCCCATAAACAAACAAATAAAATGGGTTGAAAAGAATTAATTCAAATTCAAAATTTGAATTAAATATTTGAATTTTGGTGTAGAAATTGAGTCTCAAAAATATTTTGTGTGTCAAACGATGTACAAGAAAAATCTTTAAGGTACATTTTTCTTACCACAAAAAATTTGTGTATACTTAAAAAGTATTTTAAAGAAATTTTGACACACTAATTTGAAACTGACTCAATAGAATATTTTTAGACAGAGACAAATAATTTTTCAACTGACTCAAGAAATAATCATTTTTATCCCTAAAAAATAATTTGTTTATGCAAAAATTATTGTCATCCTTACAAGAATTCCTAGACTCAATAAAAATTAAAAAGGTCTTCGGAGTCTTCACTTCTCTTCAAAAAAATCTGCGTAGGGGTGATCGTCGATTTTTATCACCGTAAACTTCTTGATACCCTTCTTTGCTTTTCTCAATACGAAAAATAAATTTTCGAATATCAATTGAATTTAATCATCCTGTTTGTCATTTATCAAAACAAAAAAATATTCCAAACAATAATAAAGGGGTTTGAACTCATGTCTAACAATTTCCCCCTTTTTGATAATGACAAACATAGTTGAGAGAAAACAAAGTGTGAGATCATGAAATACTTCTCTTAAATTGATTCTCCCTGCAAGGTTAGAGAAGTGCAGTAAAAATAATCGGAGTAATAAGCAGAAAAACGATTTTGAAAAAAAAAAATTCTCAACTATCCTCCTTCCCCCTTTTGGCATTATCAACCGATATGCTTCCCCCTTAAACAATGCCGGGATATTGAGGGATAGTAAAAAAATGGCAAGAGTTTTCTTTAAAAGAGAACTACTAATAAAAAAGCCACAAAGGGTCAATATGTTCTAAACAAGAACAATATTGCCAACCCAACAATGATATCAATACACAATCATAATTAATAATAACTAGCATCATTGAAAGGAACATCATCATCCACCAAAAGAGTCATAAAACAATAACATTTAACAATGTATCATAAATAAGGCATCACATTTAGAGAGAGAGAAGTCAAAGTGAGCTCGACGACCGGGATCCACTACTGTAACTGTGACGCGGTCCGAAATATGGTCGTCGCTCTATCTCCGTCATCCACTGCTCAAGCCGTGAGAGACGATGGCCTTGCATGGTCACTTCCATACGAGTATGCGCCACATCCGTGCGAGTGCAAGTCACGGCCTCTAAAATCCGTTGAAGGATGGAACGATCAGCACGACGCGATGAAGTAGAGCGTGACGCCTGAGTAGGAGAGGAGTGCTGAGTCAATTCCACCTGAGCGACTTCTTGGACATGCCTCGGTTCGACCTCCGGGTCATGTTCTTCTTCACCCTCTTCTTCTCCTTCTCCTTCTTCTTCTCTTTCTTCTTCTCCTTCTTCTTGCACGGCCATTGGTACATTAAAGCAGTTGAAGGTTGTGACATCGATGTACCACATGTGGTTCTTTTGGACGTGGATATCTTTTAAAGGCACCTCAAAATGTTCATGATCGGGAACACATACCCAAGAGACCCTTTTGACTTCATGAGAATAAGGTTATTGCAAAAGAATTTTGCCCAATTGATTTTAATATTGTTCAAAAGCATGAAGAGAAGACGAGTGTCCGATGAAAGTATTTTGGAATGGCTCGACTTACAAGGAGCTAATACTTTCGAAATGAAGTAATGAAGAATTCGAAAATGAGGCTTAAGACCTCCAAAGGTTAGGCGTTCTCGCCCAAGAATTTCTTCAAGGCACATCTCGGTAATGGTGTCATAAGAAGAAAAAGTTTTGAAATCCTTAGATGTGAACTTGTGGAAATCACATCCCTCAAAAGAGAATTTGAAAAGTTCACCGATATCTTTGAAAGTCATCTCAATGTCGGTGCCATTAACGGAGGTTTTGAGGACCCGTCTGTTGAAAGTGAGATTTGTATAAAACAACCGAATTAGATTCGGACAATACACAGGAAAAGTCTCACAAAAAAAAGAAGTAACACCGAGTCTATCAATGAAAATAGTAGCATCGTTGAATGGTAAATGACAAAATACGGTATGAAGAACGGATTTGGGTGATAAAATAGGACGATTCAAAAAATCACTATAGAAGAGGCGTTTAGAATCACCTCTCGGAAAGAAAAATGAAGAGACAAATCGTTCTTCTTGGGTTGATGCTTCACTGTCATGAGATTTTGTGCGCAAACGTTTACTGCCTCAGCGATCCGACATGGTGGCTAGGGTTGGAGCACGAGAAGAATGAGAAACCCTAAGAGAGAAAGGAAAAAGCACTTAATCTCAAGTAATCGAGCAAATAAGCAACATTAATTATCAATTTGCAACAATTAACAAATAATTTGGAAGAAATTGGAGAGAAAATGAGGAAAGAGGCGAAGAAATCGAACCTGGGAATGGCTTCGCGTTCGTCGTCGAGGAGAAACAGAGACCAGACGGGAAAAAGAAAGAAATAACGAAGTGGGGGATTATATATACCTGTAAGTTAAAGTGATCGGTCCAACTAAAACGATCGATCCTCCGTAAAAGAGTACTTGCGCCGTTTAGGTCCAGGTGATC